CTCGCACCCCGCGCGCCCCCCCTGCCTGTCTTTAGACTCATCGAGACTCCACACCCTCCCGGCAGGCTGAGGCAGGAGGGTGGCCTGGGTTAGAGTAAAACTCCGCCTCCAAAATTAAAAACAAAGCTCCACAGCACACGCCGCCTCTATTGACGTCACCCCAAATCACCCCAAATAGTGCCCGCCGAAGCGTAGATTTGATGCACCGGTGATGGTTTTTTTTTTTTTTCCTCTCTAATAAACTTGAAAGACTTAGATGCTGAGAGTTCAAAGGTTTTGTGTAACCTTCAGAACCGTCTGGTGTGCCACGCGTGGGAAATAGCACAGCGTCATTACATAAGCCGAAGGGATCTGCCAAACTCCGTTATGCCAGGTTCCCATGGCAGTCCAGTTCCTCAGTGTCTTCTAACTACCAGCCTGTGCCTGGCACCGTGCGGCCCTTGGGTAGAGACCACGCTTAAAGTAAATAGAGGGTCTGGTCCTCAGAAAAGATAGTGGTATAAGTAACTGCCAATCCAAAGAATAAGTGTCACAGTTCAGGTTGCAGTATAGCCACATACCAAGATGGAAAGGGACAGTTCCTGAACTCTGTCTGTCTGGAGGTGTTCAAGACCAGCCTGTCTTGCCTGGTACCCAGTTTGTATCAATAAGGAAAATAAAAACTTTTTTTGTTTTTTTCTTTGTGTGTAGCCCTGGCTATCCTGGAACTAACTCTGTAGACCAGGCTGTAGACTCAGCTTCTGCCTGCTGAGTGCTGGGATTAAAGGTGTGCACCACCATGCCTGGCTCAAAAAAATTCTTTTTGAACTTAAAAAATAAAAAGGCCCAAGTGCTGAATTTCTTTCTTTCTTTCTTTCTTTCTTTCTTTCTTTCTTTCTTTTAGATTCATTTATTCAGGCTGGAGAGATGGCTCAGGGGTTAAGAGCACTGACTGTTCTTCCAGAGGTTCTGAGTTCCATTTCCGGCAACTACATGGTGGCTCACAACCATCTGTAATGTGATTTGGTGTCCTCTTCTGGCACGCACTGTATACATGTTAAATAAATAAATAAATCTTTTTTTTTTTAAAAAAAGATTCATTTATTCATTATGAATACAACATTCTGCCTCCATGTATGTCTGCACACCGTTTTGAGCCACCCTGTGGTTTCTGGGAATTGAACTTGGGACCTCTGGAAGAGCAGCCCATGCTCTTAACCTCTGAGCCATCTCTCCAGCCCTGCTGAATGACTTTCATAGTCAATGGCAAGATAGTGCATTTAAAGATTTACTGTCCGTTTGGTTCAGAGAGCAGTTTGAGACTATTGAGTTTCAAATTTGTAATCAAAGCTAAATATTTGCCAATGCAAAATTGCATGTAGTAAGGAAATCCAACTCAAGCAGAATCCCTTTAGCGATAATCAGTGTGTACACAGAAACCCCAGGGGATGGGAGTCCTCTGTATCCTGACGTTTTTTGCAGAGGGTGCAGCATAGGTTGCTCTCAGCTTCTCAGAAAGTCCCGAACCTTACTTACTGACTCCAGTAAGTAGTGAGCTTTGCACTCTGATCTTCAGGCAAGCTTTATTTGTTAGATTATAAACAAAATATCACTATAGTGCATCACTACTGACTGGCCATTCTTCACAGATTTAGAAGTAAATTTAAATAGATCACATCTCACCTGGAGAAAATAGTTTGGATTTTATGTACTATAGCTGAATAAAAAGTGGTACCTCAAGGAGTATCTCTATTTCTTCTAGGTACTCCATGTTTCCCTATCCTCTGAAGAGTTTGGGTCAAGACTGGACCACACCGTTAGAGGATCTGCAGAGGTATTGCTGGAACAGACACATTTCCAGTTGTCTGAGGTGGCCTGGACATTACTCACGTGCCCCTTACCCATACCTGAGTAGCAGGCATTTCTCACTGAACTGTAGACCACCTCTTCTTTTTGAGTCTGGAACTCAGTTTCAGTACTACAATTGGAGACCTGACCATCTGAGCAACACATCCTTGATGCATCTCTCCAGTTACATCATGAACTCTGACAAAGATGAGCCCTCGTCCAAACGAAGAAAGCGCCATGGTAAAAGAGATGTTTATCTTGGTAAAAGGACAGGCGTCAGGATAACAGTCCTGGATATTTTAGAGAGTCATTCTGTGTTAGGAATGGTGTCTTTATTCTCAACTGTGTCTCTTTCTACAAATGTAGAAAAGGACTATAAGACTATATAAATAGACTATATAAGTAGATTTATATAGTTTGTGTAAATACTTAGGCCATATAAGAATATAAAAGTAGAATAACATTGTAGAAAACAGAAGTAGATAAAAATGAAAAGTTTAAGAATAGTTTTCATGTCCAGCATTTTTTGAAAAGAGCCTTTGATGACGTAGAGATTAGACTGCCAGTGGAAATTGCTGATCTAAAAAATGTAATTTTGTGTTTTCATTATAATAGTGACTTTAAATATATACTATAAAAGGATTCTTTTATTTGAAACAACCATAAATAAAATGTTACAGGATAACATTTTAGCATGTTAAATCTGTATTTCCCAAATGAGAGTCTATAATAGCTTATATGTATATTTTTCTTCTTTTTTTCAATGCTAGGGATTGAACCCAGCACCTTGTACTTGTTGTGCCCTGAGCTACATGCCCAGTCCTAGAAACTCAAGAGTCAGGATTATTACCTTTTAGAAAGGGGGCCATGTCCTACTCAACTTTATGGAGCTCTTAAAAATATGTATTGATTCCATGTGCTTTTCTCGTGCTATTTTCACTTCTAGACAACTCATGCACTCCCACCCCACTCTAATCCCAGTGTGTGATGAGGTATGTAAGAACTCGCTCGGGATTGCCTTTCCTACTGAACTTTAGAGGCGGCTGTGTGGGTGTTGGTGTGTAGGGAGCTGAGACAGAGGCAGAAGAGCTGAAAGTGAGCTCCTGAACCCTTTGCCTTCAGGCTTCTTGTCCTTTGTTGCCAGAAAATTCTCTGGAGGATTCACCTGGGTCCTAAGGCAGAAATTAATTGCTACAGTTACAAAGAGCTAGTTCAAATAAGCACACATATGTAAGTAGACACTAAGTCCTTGGCCGTGTATAACTTGTAACTATAGCACATGGAAGTAAGTGGTCATATGAAACATTGAAACCAGGATCCACAGAAGGACCCAGTTTTTCATTTGTGTTCATTAGGACAATTCACATGCCTCTCTTGAGACCTTTTGGTAATTCTGTGTGCTCTCAGATGGAATTTTGACATGGTAAAGTTTAGGAAGCACTCCCTACCCTCATGTATGCTCTGCCACTGCCTCATTTACGAGTGTGGAAAGGTTTTCTGTTTTGAATGTCTGTTAAAGACAAAATGAGAGATGTCTACATGCCTGACATAAGTGACTACTCAAAACTGTGGTGGTGGTGTTTCCCAGAACTGGATGGGGAATTACATTGATGTACTGATAATCTCTAATTGCTACCTGACTTTTTATCTATCCATTCTTCCTAGGTGTTGAGAATAAGGAAAAGGCTCTTCGTTAAGCCATATGTGTGACTTGCGATATTTCACTAATACTTTTCAATCAAGAGAACAGCTTTACTAATTTGCCTATCACTTTAAAGTATTTGAAGGATTTGTGTGACACAATTAAGACTTTGTAATTAGGCACCCAATACCTGCTCAGGCCTGTTGCTTACTTTCTTTGATTCATCTCTCTTCTCTGCTGTGATCACCTTGTTGCTCCTGACATGGAAGGTATATAAGCTTTTGTAGTGTGGATTTGTTGTGAAGTGTGTGACGGCCAGAGACTGTTCACTGTGTCAATGGTTGTGAGGGAGTCCTCCATGGAACCTAGCATTTGAACACACTTGCATCTGTTTAGTGAAACAAGTGTGGTCAGGGTGCTGCACTGTGTTTCCCCCTCAGCAGAGACCTGGTCTTCTTAGTACAGGAAAAGCAATGCCAAAGGGCTCCACGAGCTGTAAAGTTGGCAAGCCACCATAGTAATCAATCAGGTGTCCACTGGTCCTGTTTATTTAAGAAGTGTCATTACAAAGTTCTTAGCAGAACATAATCTCCATGTATATCATGTACACTGTATGAACATATTTTATAAGAAACAGCAAATGAGTGTTCTAGATCTTCATTTTTTATATTTCATTGAGGTGGTGACAGGATGGAGCTGTAGTGGGGGGTGAAAGCTTGCATGATGGAGCCCCTTCCATCTTATGAAAACTTCAGTCTGTGGTTTAACTGTCAGGGACACCATAGTTTGTGATTGGATATTGTAACTGTCAGTACTATGGGGCTAGTACCATTAGCCTTAATTTTAAGCCTTTGGGATGGGATAGTCTCCATGTTCAATGCAGGATAGGGAAGGGCTAACTTCTTTGGCTCAGCTGGGCATGAGGCTGCTTTGGGCAGAATTCTGTATTGTCAAAAGATTTTTGTCTATTTTGATTTTGTTTCTTTCCACCTTTTTCTGGAGCCCTTCCCTTAGCATCTTCCTACCATGACCTCCCTCAGCCCATTCAGCCCTCACTGATCACACCGATGGCCCTCTTTCTGGTCAAATGTGTAACCCTCCATGCAGGAGGTAGATGCTTAGACGCTGAGGAAAGTAACCTGCCATAATGAACATCCCATAATATACTTTTCTGATAGCATGGTAGCATATTTCCTTTTCACTCTGCATGCAAGTTTACTGTTTAGATCTGTTTCCTTTTTTGTTTGTTTGGTTTGGTTTTGGGGACCGGGACTCAACACTGTAGCTCAGGCTGGCCTCAAACTCTTGGCAATTCTCCTACCTTAGCCTCCTGAGTATTGGGATTACAGGTGTAGTCCCCATGCTCAGGCAACTTCACTTAGAATTTTAGGAATTATAGTCTAGTGACCTGAAAACCTGCGTGCAGGATGGGGGAAGATAGCCTATAGCTGAAAGCTGTCATTTACCCTCAGCATGCTTGGCCAGCCATCTCCAAATCTATTCTCTTCTAGGTAGGTTTTCTCCTCACTGTTGAGTTTGTGGGTTAACTAAATGTCCTGTCTTTCTCTAGGCTTCCATGACAATAAGCATATATCTGACTAATGTGACATAATAAGACATGAAGTCAAAGGTGAATGTATTCACTTGCTAGTTTGGGCACTAGGCATTGAACCCACCTGCCAGACAAGTGCTCAACCACTAAGTAATTACCAGCCCCCCCTTTTTTTTTTCTTGAATCTCACTACACATAGCTCAAGCAGTCCTTCAACACACCATGTAGACCAGGCTTTTGATCCTCCTGCTTCAGCCTCCCAAGTGCTGGAAGGCTTGGGAGTCATGTGCCACCAGGCATATATACACACATATTACATACATACACATATATTCCATGTATACACATACATATAAAATATTCACACATGTGTACCCTCAGAAAATGGATTTATTAGTTGAGGAGTGTCTGTAATTACAGAATCTCACTTTTTTCTACTTTACACTGTTCTTTCAAAGAATACTATGTCTTTGCAGAGTGTGATCTATGCTGCATACCTGGTGGTTGTATGCTAAGCTCACTCACCAGCTTCTGCCATTTGTCTAGAACATTCTGTAATGTTATGCTAGCTCGTGTTTTGGTATCCCTATATTACAAGGCTCATTGTATCATCTATAGTTTTTTTCTTTGGTTTTTCGAGACAGAGTTTCTCTTTGTAGCTTTGGAGCCTGTCCTGGAACTCACTCTATAGACCAGGCAGGCCTCGAACTCACAGAGATCTGCCTGTGTCTGCCTCCAGAGTGCTGGGATTAAAGGTGTGTGCCACCACTGCCTGGTTGTCATCTTTAATTTGTAACAATTCGTTTTGGTCATTCTGTCTGTTCTTCCCCATTTTAACATGTTAGACACTGAACACTGTTCTCACATATTTTCATTCTGTACAACCCTCTGTTCATGCATAAACCAGAATTCTGAACTAAGGTACCTGGTGATCTTGATACGGAAGGAAATGTGCTCAGAAATCCTCTCTGCAAAGGTGGCTCTGTGGAGTCTGTCACTGCATTAAAGAATGTTAGGCGTGACTGAGGGAAGTCTTCTGAACCAGAGGCAAATGGGAGCATGCAGCCTCCTGAAAGATGAGCTGCCTAGTCAGCCCGCCTGGTGACAGCTGGTAACTAGTCACCATTAGCTTGCTGTTCCCAAAGAGAAACATTTTACTCAGTGGCTTTGGGAGTTTTAAGTGAAAAAGTATTTGTGTACAGAAAACTATCTGGTCTCCTTTTTGATCCATTTTTTTATATTTTGTCCAATATATTTTAACAGGAACAATAAAAAGGAATTGGGAGTATTTATGTAGCCATAATAAAGAAAAAACGAAAGAGCTAGAAGACAAAAATGTTGAGTCCACGTGTGAGGACAGTGAAGAAAAGTTTGACTTTTCAGTGATGTCTTACAATATACTCTCACAAGATCTATTGGAGGACAATTCACACCTCTACAGACACTGCCGGCGTCCAGTGTTACATTGGAGCTTCCGTTTTCCCAATATTCTGAAAGAAATCAAGCATTTTGATGCAGATGTAAGTTGTAAAGCAGTGTTGGAGATTTTCTTCTAAGGAAAGGGTGGTTGATTGTGCATTCCTGGGCAGTGTGTTACTGCATGTTGTCTGGGGTAAGGAGCTGTTAGCGAGGTATGGCTTCCTTGTTATTGGTCAATGAGAAATCATCACCTAACTTTTCAAAAGAGCTGAAAGTTTTAAAGTATTGGTCAACTTTGAGGATCAGATGGAGCATTTTAAGTAAATTATTGGAATTGAAATTTCACTAGTTTGTGCACAAATTCATCTACATGGTCAGATAGCATTTAAAGAATGCCAGTTGCTTTTTTTTGTTTGTTTAAGACAGGACTTCTAACAGCTCACACTGGCTTCATTTCCTGTGTAGCCCAGGGATGACCTTGAACTCCTGTGCCAAGTGCAGGCATGTGCCACCATGCCCAGCTAAGGAAACAGGTTGTTTTGTTTTTGCCAGGAGGGATGCTGGAAAGAAACCAACCTCTTAGGAAAGTACCCATAGGGCTGGAGAGATGGCTAAGTGCTTACAAACACTGGCTGTTCTTCCGGAGGACCTGAATTCAATTCCCACCACCCACATGGCAGCTCACAAACATCTGTATCTCTAGTTCTAGGGAATCTGGCGCCCTCTTCTGGCCTCTGTGGGCACTACATGAACATGGTGCACAGAAATTCAGGCAAAACATTCATACCTAAAGTAAAAATAAAATCTCCCAAGCCAGGTATGTGTATAATCTAGCACATGTCTATAATCTAGCATGTGGCTGAGGCAGAAGTACCACTCTGAGTTCAAGGCTGCTCTGGGTTATATAGTGACACTTAAAAGCTTAGTCATGGCTGGGCGTTGGTGGCGCACGCCTTTAATCCCAGCACTTGGGAGGCTGAGGCAGGGAGATCGAGTTCAAGGCCAGCCTGGTCTACAGAGTGAGTTCCAGGACAGCCTGGACTATACAAAGAAACAAGAAACCCTGTCTTGAAGAAACTAACAAAAAAAGCTAAAAATAATGAGCATTATTTATTATTTTATATATATATATATAGCCACTTTGATTTCCACGCTGTCAGTATGAATAGAATTCATATTTGGATCTGTTTTAATTCAAACCACTGTTTTCTTCAAGGTGCTCTGTCTGCAGGAAGTTCAAGAAGACCATTATGGAACAGAGATCAGGCCAAGTCTGGAATCACTGGGTACAATGTAACCTTTATTTACTTTTGCTGGGATTAAACATGTGTGCCACCACCTACTGGCATTTTTTTTTTTTTAACTTTTTAAGGTTTATTTTTGTGTGTGTAAGTTTAGCCTGCATTCACGGTGTCAGAAAGGGCTGTCAGATGTCCTGGAACTGCAGTTACAGGTGGTTGTGAGCCACCATGTGGTGCTGGAAACTGAACCTGGATCCTCTGGAAGAGCAACAAGTGCTCTTAACCACTCAGCCATCTCTCTAGCTCTGGGATAACTTGTGAATTTCATTAAATTCAATAAATTTTATTTATTATTTTATAGGTGTGTTGTCTGCATATGTGTCTGTGTGCCATGTGTGAGGCTCAAGTGTGTAGAGACCAGAAAAGGCATTGGATCTTATGGAATCACAGTTGCTAGCAGTTACGAGCTAGCATATGGGCACTGTCAGTGAACACAGGTCCTCTTCAAGATCAGCCAGTGCTCTTAACTGCTGAGCCATCTCCAGTGCCTTTTGGGATAACTCTTAATTTTAAAAATGTGATGCCTATTTCCTAATGTCCAGCAAATATTGAGGCATTTCTGCTGGAAATCTCATGTTGATCTGATCTTAAAAGGGAAATGTTTCCAGGAGCCACTCAGCTGCTGCGTCTCTGCAGGTCTTTGCTGCACAAGATCAGGGACCAGGCCGTCAAGAGTAGGCTTTACCATGGCCTCGCAGATAAAAGATAAAGCCTTCTAGAATTTGATTTATAGACAGGAAATATAAAAATGCCCATGTGTCATTCATCCATTTAGTAGGTGTTTCCTGAATGCCTGCCTATACTTTACACTGATCCAGAAAGTGAGCACAATGCTGTCTCAGCAGCCAGCCTCCTTTGTGACGTGCATACGTAAACAGCAGGCAAGGAATGCAGAATGATTGGACAAAGTGAAGCTTGAACTAAGATTTGGAGGAGGTGAAGGTTGAGCATCCTGGCCAGCAGAGCTAGCACGGAAAGGCTCTGATGTTGACATGTACTGGGGGCAATGTGGCCCACAGAGATGAGATGGGGAAAAGAGGGCAGAAAGACCAGAGTGAGTGAGTGTAAGGCCTCATTGTCTTTGTCATGACTGAGTTGGGGGTTAAGTCTACCAGTAAAGGAAGCTGCTAGGCATCTTGGTTTTGAGATAAGGTCTTGCTGTATGACCCAGGTTGGCTCAGAGTCATAATGCACCCACCTCCTTACAAGTGTGTGAGCCTGCTCTCTGCTTGGTTAGACATACGAGGTGTATGGTGTGGTGGCCTCATTGTAGTTCCAGCACTTGGGACGCTGAGACCTTAAGATCAAGAGTTCAAGGCCACTAAGAGCTGTATAGTAAGTTCTATGATAGCTGAAATCCATGGTGAGTCCCTGTCCCAGAAGACCCTCGAGCTGGGAACGTAGACCCATGGAAGAGTGCCTGATGGTATGCTTGAGTCCCTGGGTTTGATCCCACCACCAAAAAAATAAGATGGTACATTGTAGATGCTGAAGCTATAACACTCTCCCCTGACATTCCTGACTCTAGCCCTAAGCTTCGGTTTTAACACAGGCTAGCATCCTGTCTCACGGCACGTGCTTTGTCAAACATTGCTATAAAATATCAAGAGGGATGTGCTTTGACATACAGTCTTTCTCTTAAATTCACCCCTTGTAGGTTATCACTGTGAATATAAGATGAAGACAGGAAGGAAACCCGACGGCTGTGCCATTTGCTTCAAACACTCCAAATTTTCACTCCTGTCAGTGAACCCAGTGGAGTTCTGCCGCCGTGACATTCCACTGCTGGACAGGGACAACATCGGACTGGTGTTACTCCTGCAGCCCAGGACCCCACATGCTGCCTCCCCCTCCATCTGTGTGGCTAACACACATCTGCTGTATAACCCACGGCGAGGAGATATTAAGCTCACACAATTGGCAATGCTGCTTGCAGAGATTTCCAGTGTGGCCCATAGGAAAGACGGTAGCTTCTGCCCCATCGTCATGTGTGGTGACTTTAATTCTGTTCCTGGTTCTCCACTCTATAGTTTCATAAAGGAAGGAAAACTGAATTATGAAGGACTTGCAATTGGAAAGGCAAGTGCTCACTTCGTCTGGTAGGAAGTGGGCTTCAGCCGCTCCACCCATCAGAATGAGAGGGTCAGTTGGTCATTGTTGGAGTGAAGATGGTCGTTGCATGGCTGTGTGAAAACCACTGGGCAGTCTAATATCTCAGTTACGAATATATGGCTTTGTTCACTTGGTTTGATTTTTGTCATGTCCAGTTTGGAAGGGTTTTGTTTGAAGGAATTATCTGGTAGAAAGAAAAGTGTTGACAGACAAGGCTAACTTGAAAGGCCTCTTTCATGGGGGTGGGGAGTAGGAGGAGTTCTGAATGCTGGACACAGGCAGTACAGTCATTTCATGTTTATTGTATAAGCTTTCCTCTACATAGGAATGTCTTCTGTAACGCTGAAATACTTATTTCCTTCAGCTTTGAATGACACTTCCATGCTTTCCTCTGATTGTTTTAGATCATTTGGTTTCCAGTTTAGCCAGAACAAGTCCTCCACCAACAGTATTTTCAGTGAGTTTTAAATTTGATTCAATCACAGCATTTGACACAGTAGAAACTATATTACAAGGAGCAGAAAGAGTAAGACAGTATTAGTTGGAAGCTGTAGATACCTAGATGTTCAGAAGAGGAAAACACGTGTGTGAAAAGCCTATGATCCCCATGTAAATAATGAGTGCTTTCTGAACTGTATTTGGATGGGAGTTTGTAATCACAAGTAATCATTTATTTAAAATGAAGGCTATGCTTACCATTTCTGATTACTTTTATTAAGATATAAAATTTTCAACATATAATTAGTTCAAGTCTATTCACTTAAGGTGCCTGTTGAAATTCTGTGCAGGTATCTGGCCAGGAACAGTCTTCACGGGGACAGAGAATTTTATCTATTCCAATTTGGCCCCCAAACCTAGGCATCTCTCAGAATTGTGTATATGAGGCACAGCAGGTTCCCAGAGTAGAAAAGACAGGTGAGTGTTTGCAGTACATTTTGGCAGTCTTCTGGGTAATGGTCTTCCCTGTGGAGACATAGGCTAAAATTTCAGTTTCAGCATCTTGGGCATAAATGTTCACGTATATAAATATAAATAGCTATTTGCTCATCCTTTTAATCTGTTTCAAATTTCCTTTTTAAAAGTTAAATTCCAACATTATTTGTTCATGAATAACTTGCATATTGCCTTAAAGTTGCTTGCATTCCCCCCCCCCCCTGATTCTGTAGACCATCAAAATATAGCCATAGGATCAAATATCTAACCAGACATCTAAACTAGACATATCATGAATCTGGCTCTACAGAAAGCCATGCTGTGGCAAACTAGAACAAAACAGTATGCACACTGCATTGACATGCTTACCTCTGCTCTTTCAGACAGCGATAGCCATCTGACGGAAGCACAGCTGGAGAAGACAGAGGTCCTAATGTCAGCTGAAAAGTGAGTTCTGGAAAGCCACAGTGACAGTCCCTGACTGAGTGATGCAAAAAAAAAAATTACCTCTGAAAACACTTGGATCCAAAATAAAGCTGATGATATTCCACGAGGCAAAGGCTGCTGGATTTAAGACAAACACACACGAGTTCCCGTCTTACTGCTGCTTCATAACTGAGAACCAGGCATCACTAAGGCTCCATTTCCCTACATGAGTTGTGAGGATTCAGGGAGCCAAAGCTTGGAAAGCAGTGCTTGGTGCTTGGTGTGCTTAGGCAGTGTCTGGAAACACAGCATGTGGGCCTGGGCTGGCCCAGAAGCTCTGAAAACTCCAGAGTCACTAACTAGATCTCAGTCTACACCATGCCATAGAGATGTCATCGTCATTTTCCCATGAACTGAAGGAAAAACATCAGAAGCAGAGAGAAGCCTGTATTAGTTTAAAAAGATCCCTGAGTGTTCTGGCTTATTGAGAAGTGGGTCTGTGTTAATACATCAAGACAGACCTATATTGTGTCTCTTTAAAATTCTTAAGATATTTATCCTAGATTGTAACCCAGTGTTTTTTCAACATTTAAATGTAGGGACCACATTAGAAGCATATCTCCTTCAATTTATCCTCATTCTTCTCAGTTTTACTTTGTATGTGTTAGTTTGAGAAAAAATTGTACTTTTTTAAATTAACTTTTTGATTTCTATACATAGTTATTTTGCCTGTAAATATGTCTGTATGCAGGAATCACATCCCCTGGAACAGGAGTTATAGACAGTTGTTATCTGCCATGGGGGTACTGGGAATTGAACCCAGGGACTTTGGAAAAGCAGCAGTGCTCTTAACTGCTGAGCCACATTTTTAATGTGTCCCTTAGCACCTACAGTAGTGTACAGAATTTAGTAGATGTTTGTTAAGTGTTTGTTGAATGAACTTAAAAATGTTCTAAAAAATTATTTTTCCTTTTAGCATAAATCACTCTTAAAATTCATGACATATTAGAAAATAATCTTTAACCCTTTTGACTGTGACAGGACATGTATTTGTTAACAGTAAATGTGAGCCACTCTGGCAGCTGTCCTGAGAGCAGAAGGATACAGGCCTGTGGCTTCTTTGCTAGCAGAGGTCCAGAGGGTCCTAGAGCCTTGCACAGCCTTCACCACTTAGAGCATCCTTAAAAAGCTGTTGAGAAGTGCATGCTTAGAATTTACGTGGAGGCTCTCAAACACTTATCACTCTAAGATCTAATTAGCATATTGATTCTTCAGCTTTTCACCCCAGTTGTTGTCATTTGCTGGGTTATGTCATTCATTCACAGTCACTGCATCAGTAAAGGAACCGACTTAGGATATGGTTTATTTCAGTGAAACATGTCTCACCTGTCATAACACTCAGGAGGTTGAGACAGAAGTGTCATGAAGTGGAGGCCAGCCTGGGCTATATAGTAAGATTGAGGCTAGCCTGAGCTACATAATGAAACTCAAAAAAGCCAGGCATGATGGCTTACAGATATTATACCACTACTCAGGCAACTGAGACAGAAGGATTGCCATAAATTTGAGGACAGCCTAAGCTGTAACGAAAGTTGCACTCAAGCCTGGGATATAATGTAAGAACTTGTCTGAAAAACAAAATCAAAAGACTAAACAATAAAAAGAGTCCTGGTCTTAGTCTAGGAATGGAGTAAAAAGGTAATTTAGATGAGAGATTTTTACTATGAAAATTTTGGTGGATACTGAGCCCTTCTCTCTGTCTTCGCTGTAGCGTGTCTTCACATCTGCAGCACCACTTCAGCTTGTCATCTGTCTATTCTCATTACCTTCCTGACACTGGACTTCCAGAGGTGACCACCTGCCATTCCCAAAGCGCCATAACTGTGGATTACATTTTCTACTCTGCAGAGAAGGAGGGTGCTTCCAGGGGTCCAGGTGAGGAGTGTGTGGAACCACAATTGCTAGAGTAATACAGAGAGGGAACCTTAGTTTCAGCACGAAGGTGAAGTTCTAAATGCAGAAGCGAGATGTGTGAAACCCTGATGAATGCACACATCGTAAAGCAGCCCAGCAGATTCTTACAGAAGTGTGTCCTCAGCTGGCCGGTCAGTGCCAATCACTGAGTAGATGGTGAAGTCACCAGCTGTCTGCCATTCATTAGGTTAGAAAGTCATGCTGCCTTCACAGCAGGGCCAGGCTGTGCTGGCCTGTCATGGCACTGTCATGCTGACCTGGGTGCTGACCCGCTGGAGAAAGCTTGTGACTGTTTTCAGAAATGGAAGCAGGAGTGTATTTCCCTTACAACTCAAAAAATCAGGTTGAATAAGCCAACTGAAGGTTTTAAAACTGAGGAAACATTGAGATAACTGGAAATCTAAAAATACTCAGAAAATATCTGGGGTCCTAGACAAGGCATTCCCTTTTCTGATGCTACTTCTCTCCCAGTTAGTTCCTTCTGGGCAGTGCCTTCTGTCCAGTTGCCCTGCTCTCAGTTCACAGTACAGTCTGGAAGTTGCCATGCCTACACAGTTCACTAGGTGGCAGGAGAGTGTCAGGGAGGGATCAGTAGTTCCAGTCTCCCCAGAGCTGAAAGCATGCTGCCTTTCACTTGAGTGGACAATGACTGGGCTCTAATCATGTCCCCTCATCCTGCAGTCACTTTGGCAGCTCCTGCCTGCCAAGCTTGGCTCTATGCAGTTAAGTAGTTTGCTGGATCATTCTTTCTTTCTTTCCTTTATTTATTTATTTATTGATGGGGGGAATGTTGAGACAGGGTTTCTCTGTAGCTTTGGAGCCTGTCCTGGAACTTGCTCTGGAGACCAGGCTGGCCTCGAACTCAGAGATCCACCTGCCTCTGCCTCCCAAGTGCTGGGATTAAAGGTGTGCTCCACCACTGCCCAGCTAGGTGGCTCATTTCTTAAATAGTTGTCAATCTCAAATTCCTAACTTTTTGTTTTGTTTTTCGAGTCAGGGTTTCTCTGTGTAGCCCTGGCTGTCCTAGAACTCACTCTGTAGGCCAGGCTGGCCATAAACTCCTGCCTGCCTCTGCCTCCTGAGTGCTGGGACTAAAAGTGTACACCACCACCACTCAGTGTAAATTCTTAACATTTTTTATTACGTTATTCTTTCAAAAGTGTAAATTTTATAAATTGAGATAGAAGAATTACCTGGCACAAACAGCATGATTCTACAGTTTAAGGGTTATTAGTTATAACTTCACAAAACTTTGTACTCTAAAAACTTTCATATTAGTTTTCTGGTGGCTTCAGGTTCCGTTTCACTGTTTTAAAAAACTTGCCTATTTAATGATAGTTTCACTGAATATGTACTTCTTCACCTAGGAGCTGAAGTTGCTTTGGTTGGGGGCTTGAAACTTCTAGCTAGACTGTCGCTTCTTACAGAGCAAGACCTGTGGACTGTGAATGGACTTCCCAATGAACACAACTCCTCAGACCACCTGCCTCTACTGGCCAAGTTCAGGCTTCAACTCTGACTCTGTTGCTCACTTACACAATTTCCTGTCTTCTCAAAGGCTGTAAAGATATTTTTCACTGTTTGCATGCTGTTCATTTTTGTGCTGTGTGGTTCAGAATTTGCTATATGCTTGAAAGAGATGGGAAGAAACAAATTTACTTTTTTTGGGGGGTGGGGGGTCAGAGATAGGGTTTCTCTGTATTTTGGAGCCTGTCCTGGAACTCGCTCTGTGGATCAGGCTGGCCTCGAACTCACAGAGATCTCTTGACTCTGCCTCCTGGGTGCTGGGATTAAAGGCGTGCACCACCAACGCCTGGCACAACAGGGTTTTTTTGTTTTGTTTTGTTTTTTTATGAAATATTTTTCTGACATGTCTAAACACTTTATTATAAAAATATATAAATAGCTTCTGAGTCCTGGTAAAGTTAATAACATTTTTTAAAAATGTAGTTCATCTCCTTAGCGCTCCAGGTATGAATTCAGTGCTTTCTGGTGGACCTGTCAGAACTTGCAGAGCTCAGGTTGTTGCCTTTTCTGGAGGCCTAATTTCACTGGGAGAAGCCTGTGCTTGTTGAGAGCTAATCAATTCTTAGAAATCCCTGGGCCATTCATTCACAGGTGTCCAACCACATTAGCTTCTGAAGAGGCTGGATGATGTTCTTGCGTTGTAGAGCATACTGACCCACGTGACTGCCATCCTGAGCTGTGGGATATGCCTACATTTTGTTAGGTCACTCTCAGAAGAGGGCAAAGCTCTTAGCCAGGTATGATGGTACATGCCTGTAGCCTTAGCATTTGGGAGGTGGAGGCAGGATTAGCCATTTAAAGCCAGCTTTAGCAGCATAGCAAGTTTGAGGCCACCTGGGCTACATGAAACCTGGTCTTAAAAAGTTAACAAAAGCCATTTGGTGGTGGCTCACACTTTTAATCCCAGCACTTGGGAGGCAGAGGCAGGCGATCTCTGTGAGTTCAAGGCCAGCCTGGTCTACAGAGTGAGTTCCAGAACAGCCAGGGCTACATAGAGAAACCATGTCTTGAAAACACACTCAAAAAAAAAAAAAAAGTCAGAGGCCTTTATATAAGTCCACTCGTGTCCTTTACAGGAGTTGCCCCAAGGAAAGCAGATGAGCCAGGTGCAGCCATGCACGTCCATGTTGCCTGTGGATGGGAGCCAGCAGGAGGGCCACTGCATGTCCAGGCTAGTCAGGGCTACACAGCAAGACCCTGACTCAAAGACAGAAAGATGGCAGATTCTAGCTTGTACCTCATACCCCTGCACTTCCCTTTGTGTTTAATGACAGTAGAAGGCCCTTGGGTCAGGAGTGACATTTTGTTGAAACAATTTTGTATAAATATTAGAAAAGGTCTTCGGAAGGAAGCAGCGAGTCTACTGCTATTTGTCATTCGCCTCCAGTGCAGAAGCCAGAGTGTAGAGAGGCACGGCTTATACCTGGGAGCCCCACACCCACTCTTCACAGACTGATTCACTGTTGGCTGCAGTGTTGACCATTCTGGTACAGTGGTGCAGCAGTTGGCATGGCTCACACTGTCCATGCAGTCTCACAGCAGGTCTGATAAACCCTGTACAAGTGTCGATTAAAAGACTTCAATGTAAGTATCAATTCCCCCTGCTGTCTAATACAGTAGAGTTAGATTATAGGCATTTTTATTAAGTCCTTACCATTCAATAAAATATGTTTTCTACCGTGAGTTTTAATATTTTAAATTAGTAAGTCTTGGCAATTTAAATTTCTAACTCATTGATTACAGTTACTGTAGGTCTTCTAGATGACTGCCTCAGTGGTGTAGCTATAGCCATGCACAGTGAGCACTGTAGTAAAGAAAGACTCTCATTGTTTTCATGGACAGTAGTGACCACAATGCCCAGATGCCCACAGTTTTACAGTGGTGCTTTGTGGAGTGCTAAGGGTCCTGTTAGAATCACAGTGGTAACTGTCTTTTTAATATTAGGGGGATGTTGAGTGAATTAGTATAAACATCATTGTTGGCAAACTGACATTCCTGAAAACCGCTGTAAAATGTTTTTATATCCTGATGAATATATTATGAGTTTACTCATAATATATTATCATGTACTTCATTTTGATACAGTTAACTAACCCATAAATTGCTGTTAGCTTATCAGTGTTAATCTGTGTTCATAGACACTTTTCACAAGTTTTTAAAGCTCCAATAAAAATGATCTATTTTCTCTACTGTTGTTGACAGAAGAGCTGGCAGCTCCTCTGGGCCCTGTGTTTACCTGCCAAGCACAATCTGATTCGGCTGACTGCTAAAGTCGGATCTCACAGTCTAATGTATTGTGTGTGTGTGTGCGAGAGAGAGAGAGAGAGAGAGAGAGAGAGAGAGAGAGAGGGGAGGGGGGAGGTGGCTGTGGAAGTTGGATATCCAATCTAAAGTGTACACTGTCTCTTTGTGCGCTCACTCACAAAGTGACAAATACACCCAAACACACACACTCACTCTGATCTGGCTGACTTTAGAAGTCAGACCCCTCACAGTCTTAAGGTGTGCACTGTGTGTGTGTCTAGAGGCCAGAGGTGAGCCTTAGGCGTTGTTTCTCAGGAGCCAACCGCCTTTTATTTCTACGACAGGGTCTCTCACCAGCCTGGAACATGTCAAAGTAGGTAAGCTGGCCAGCAAGGCCAAGACTCTATCTCTGCCTCCTTCATGTGGATACCTGGCTTCTCATGTGGGTGCTGGGGCTCACACTCAGGTCCTCCTCTAGCTGAGCCATCTCCCCAGCCTCTTGCTGGCCAAGTCTTAAATGCAAAGGGAAACTGAAGAGTAATGATAGTCTAGGTTTTGTTTGTTTTTGGTTTTTCGAGACAGGGTTTCTCTGTGTAGCTTTGGAGCCTATCCTGGCACTCACTCTGGAGACCAGGCTGGCCTCGAACTCAGAGATTTGCTTGCCTCTGCCTCCGAGTGTTGGGATTAAAGGCGTGCGCCACCACCGCCCAGCGGATAGTCTAGGTTTTACTGCACCCTTTGCCATCAAGACAATAGGCATGCTCAAAACCTTGTCTTTTGGGATTTAGCATCTGCTAACTTTTAATCCTTTGTTTAAAAAAAAAAAAGTTCTAAGGCATTGAGTCCTTTGTACTTTGTACCTGTAAGCTGTAATAAATTATATTTGCACATCTGTGTTGGGCTTTGTGGTAAATGAGTAGTAGAAGCCAGCCTGTCACCCCTGAACTGTCCCATTACCTTCGCAGCCTCTGTCAGTAAGGATGGAGGTCAGAGGCAAGTGACAAATACACCCAAACAGAGTAATGTTCAACAAAGCCTGAAAGAGGAAAGGGAGAAACGGGTAAATTAACTCAACAGGACAAACAGCAACAGAACTTCTCAAAGCCCTTCAGTTTCCAGAATGGTTTTTATTACAGTCCATGCTGTGTACAACACGTGACAAGAGACACGCAAGCCTGAAACATGCACTCCTGGCGTCCTCCAGAGCACTGTCAAGTCTTCATGTACTTAGAAAAATACTCACTAAAACAGTCACGGCTCTTCTCAAACATTTTTAAAATGTATTGGCAAGAACAAAGTCTAAGAAAATAAAAAAGAATCTGAACTGTATGTCAAAACTGTCCAAGGTTGTACATAAAAGTCTAGCATAGGAAAACCTTGTAGAGTAAGCTGAAGGGTTGCAAAGGTTCCCCATGTATGCTGAGGACACCCTATGAAACCACTGACTCAAGAAAAGGGACATATGTGCTCATGATTTCAGCATAGGGAAAACCCCTGGGATCACCTTTCCCAGTCAGCAGCCAGTCAGCTTGAGACTGTTGTTCCACTCTGCTCATCTGCACTGCATAGGCCAAACCTGCTCCTGTCACCTCATACTTTTCTCTGTCTTCTTAAATCACAGGCATGCTGAGGAGAGGTAATACACGGGGGTTTTTTTTTTTTTTTTTTTTTTTTTTTGCCATTTTATTATTTAATTAAACTCCTGCATTAGGATTTAGGTATTTTGTGACTCCTTCTATTTTTAGAAGTTAGTGTAACTACAGACAGTAAACTGAGTGACAGAGCATTTTAAATGTTTCTGTGATTAACCTTGCTTTGAAAAATGAATCTAAAAATCAGAAGTGTTTGTGGAAAAGATTAGATAACAAAGAGTCATACTCCAGGACAGCTGCGTGCTATTCTTTGCCTTGCCGTGGATCAAGGTTGTCCCACTGACTTTTTTCACATAAACTGACCTTGAACAAGGCAGCTGCAGGCACTTGGCCTGGTGGCCCAATTCTGATCAGTCCATGTACCAGATGGAGGTGTTTCAGGGGTAAACAGCTGAGCAAGAGTGAAAGCACTCCCCAGCTCTTGACAACACTGAGAATGGACAGCATTTGAGGGCACATGGAGGAAGAGTCTTCCTTAGGCCCTGTCAGAGCACAGCCTCCCAGCACTCGCCCAGGCCCAGGACCGCATCTGCAACTCTGATAACGGTTCTTACAGAAAGCCATAAGTTCGGAATTGGAAACTTTCCTGGTGTTTTAGTTCCCTGGTCCTGTTCTCTAAAGGACACTAAATTTTTCCAAGAAAACAATACTTTTCATTAGTATGTTGGCTTTAGGGTGGAGTGAGTCTTTGTGCCCACAGCTTTTGCCTCTCTTGTGGCTCTAGGTCTTCCCTGTGAAAACTCAGTGAGTGGTCAGCTAACAGGGCCTCTTAACCTGTCAACCACAGCCAGAGAAGCACATGCTAAAAGCTCTGTGGACAAGCTGGTCCTCAGGCGTAGTGGCTGCACTAAGATCAGTGACTTTTTAAAGCTGCACTACAGATTTACAGCACTCTTGCTTGCCTTCAGATCCAAAAGCATAAGATGCACTGCACCGGCCACAGGCAGCCTCATTCTGCTTCAGGGCCTGAGGCACACGGAGGCATAGCACTCTGGTGGACCTTTTCTTTTAAGACAGCCTGCTTTTTGAGTTCACGGTTTTCCCCAGCACTTCCTAAAGCCATGAAGTGGTGCCTGAAAACAAGCTACTGGGAAATAGTCCATCATCACATTTGCCTTAATGTAAGACAGCAGAACACATGAACAACCGTGAGCCCCTCAGAGTCAGGGCTAACAAAAACGGGAACGAACAGTCAGCTCCCAATGTCTGCTTTTTCAAGCGCCTTTCTGCCAGAGGTCTTCGGCGCTGCTGGGTTTTCGTGAGTGTGTGGCCTCTTGTGCTTTTTGCTGCATTTGGAAAACCTTAAATGTTAGCAGCAGAACATGGACTAGAGCTGTTAGCATGCCTGTTTTGAAAGAGGAAAACCTGCAGTCAGCAGATGCCTTAAGTGACTCCAGTATCCTAATGTGTTGCCCCTTATTGCCAGAATTGCAGTACCTTTTGCTAAAACGTTTGCATGTGGCACCTTAAATCTCATCTCATATGTGCACCAGGAAAAAACAAAACAACCAAACCCGCCAAACCATCAAGATCCCTATAAGAAACACTAGGAAAACAATACAAATAGAATATAAAAAACTCATTAAGATTGCATATCTGATGCCAAAATGTTGAGGTAATATCAACTGCTAAAAAAACCCACCATCTTTGCTTGTTATTGCTGAGAAGACGGTAACACTGACTGCGTTACAAAGACTGGGAGAGAACTCCAGAAGTTGACTACAGCTGAGGCAAAGCGTCCAAAGCAAGCTAACAGTCGGCAAATGGAAAAATAGACTACAGTGTTGTCCTTGAGATCCTGAGTGTGGCAGACAGTCAACCCAGGGGCCTGTCCATCACTTCAGCCCAGCCATGCCTGTTGCCCGGTGAGTTTTTTCAAAGCTCACCATTTCCACCCACTCAGACTCTGTTTGCCGGTAAGTCCTTCAAAATCAAAACTCCACAAGTTCTTCAAGAATAGTTGCAGGTCCTCCTGAAGCTGCTGGGTAAAGTGCAGAAAAGAGCACCATGGAAGCCTCACCAGCTGGCGTGGCTAGATCCGGATCTGATAGCCCACTTCGTTCAGAGTGCTGAGGTCAGCCACCTTCTTCTCAGGTAGAGCAGGCCTAAGAGTAAAGGCAGAAGGACGGTGGAGAGAGACCCACACAGGAATGAAGCTTCTCAGGGGCCTGATACTCACCTGCTTCTGGTATCAAATGAACCTTTTAAACTTGAATTAACATTAACTTTAAAAAATCTTGCAAATAAACATCATGGCAAAATTAATCAGGCTCTACTTTTTTGAGACAAGTTTTCACTACGTTTCCCAGGGTAGCCCTGAACTATCCATCCTACCAGAATCTTCCATGTTCTGAGATTGTAGATACACAGCACCATGCTCAGCACTACAACTTTTGAAACCCTGTATCTCTCAGATCCTCACAAAGTCACACTACAGGACTAAGCCAAAATCTCTTGGCAACAGTGAGCCAGGGGATCACAAGGGGACTTAGGTTCTGGTGGGCATTCTCAGTTACCCTTGGGAGATGCTTCTACTCTAGGCTTGAATGTGTAAAATCAAGGTGTGTTGGCAAACACCTTTAATCCCAGCACTTGAGAGGCAGAGGCAGGCAGATCTCTGAGTTTGAGGCCAGCCTGGTCTACAGAGTGAGTATCAGGACAGCCAGAGCTACACAGAGAAACCCCTTCTTTAAAAAAATAAAAATACAAAGCATATCTCTTGGAATTCTGAAACCACATGCCATGGCAGAAAATCACTCAATGGCAAAGCATCTTTGCTAAGACACTCCTAAAGCACCTGGCACTAAAACTGAACACTAGCTTAAGGTGCTGGCGGCTTTCCAGGATGACACTGTGTAAGCATCTGACAGCTTCCATTTTCTTTTCTTTTTTTACAGATTTATTTATTTATGTTTATTGGCATGTTGTCTGCAGGTACATTTACACACCCGAAGAGTACAGTTATAGACAGTTGTGAGCTGCCATGTGGGTGCTGGGAATTGAACTCAGGACCTCTGAAAAAATAGCCAGGGCTCTTGCCCACTGAGCCATCTCTCCAGTCCCCCATCTTCCATGTTCTGATGAGCCCCTTGTCACCTTGGGTTGATGTGACCAAAACTTAAGTGTGACTTTAGGATGCTGGTGAGTTCCCCTTCAGGGTTTTTCTATTTTCCTAAGAGCATCAAAGAGATGACAAAGATGGCAGTCGAACCTTGACCTTAAGTGCTAACAAGTGAAAATTCAAGTGTCAGAAAGTCCTTAACCCTTTGAAAGATTTCCGTATAACAAACTGTTTCCTCTTTACAGGAAAGCAGTGCAGCTCACTAAGAGTGAGCAGCGGGCTCCATTAGCTTAGCAGCTTTTGTCTCTGAGAAGGCCTTGACCATCCTAAACCATTCTCCTGTCAGGCAAACGGCCACTGAACACACCTTTGTATGTTCACTTTGTGTTTGAGATGAATGTCCATGAGTTAGCAGGCAGCACTTGAACTTGGAACCCTCCTGCCTCAGCCTCTCAAGTAGCCGCTAAGAGATTCTGACATCTTGACCTGTGATCATTCTCTCTGAAGCAACTTCACAGTGGTCAAGAAATCTTCCAACTTGCTACCTGACCTGACTAAAGAACTTGTATCTTAGTCACCTCTGTCGCAAGGGTCCATGCCACATTAGTGTCTGTTCTCCAGGTTCCTGGGACACTCACAATGATAAGCACAGTAGGAATGGAAATGTGTGTGCAGACCTCATCAGCTTTCCCACGAGCTCAAGGCCTTCAGGGTGATGGCTTCTTTTGGTCCAGTCATGCTCTAGACATCAGCTGCTTTAAACAGAACCACTGCCTACAAGCCTCGAAGAGTGGCCTCCAGAACTCACCATGACCCCTAACAGGTCCATAGCTAAAAGGAACAATGTTGCTCAAGAAAGAGAAAGGGAAGAAGCATAAAAGAACAAGGAGGAAGGCCAGGTAAAGCAGAGCCACAAGGGGAGAGAAAACAGGTTTGCTCTGTCCTTGGGGAAGCAGACCTCAGTGAAGACGCGATCTTTCCTTTTTTCTCTTTTCTCCCCCTGTAGGTATTTATGTGTGCGTGTGGAGGTATGTGTCCAATTGTGTGTGGAGGCCAGCCACTGACCTGGTGTGTGCCTCAATTGCTTCTCCACCTAATCTACTTTTATTTTTATTTAGGTATTAGGAATCTGAACTCAGGACTTCATTCTTGTGCAACAAACACTCAACCATATCTCCAGCCCTCTTTCTTTTCTAGTGATTTTCTCAATATAGTCTAGGCTGGTCTTGAACTTGAGGATACAAGTGATCTCCCTGGCTCCCACTTCTCAAGTACCTGGAACAACTGATGCATCACCACCTAAGGCTCTCCTGACTTCTCTAACCTGCTCTCTTTGAGTTGTCCCCACCCACAATTCACTGTGGGCAACCCTCAGAAAAGAGATTGAGGGGACCAAGTCCCAGAGTTGCGAAGGGGTTGGTTAATTTGACACAGGCTTTGAAACACAGAACCCAAGTTTCACCCCCAGTTCTCTTTAAGAACCCCTGGGGGTGGAGTTAAGAAGGAAAGAAACTCGACTGTTTTATGAAGAAGGTGCTTGCTGCATTTGGAGGGGAAGACTGCCTGCAAGATGGCTCGGAAGGTAAAGGCATACATCACCACGCCTGATGACCCACAGCGGAAGCTAAGAGCCCAGAAGCTGCCCTCTGCCCTTGGCATGTACACATGTACCCATGTTCTGACAAGTAAGTAGTGAGAAGACTGGAACCCTCAGAGGAGAGAGGAAGAACCCGCTGGAGAGTGAGAGCGGGAAGGGAAGTGCTGTCTCCCTTTAGAAACTTGATCTTAATCCAGGGGTGAAGTCATTCTTGCCCTCTCACTCAGAAGACTCTTGTGTCAACCCAGTGGCACAGACACCCTGCAGGGATTATTCAGGCAAGTGCAGAGAGGAATGTAGGGCTGGAAGTGGTTCTAGCTGTGAGAGAAGGGGTGACATAAGCCACCAAAATTATCTATGGGTCCCCAGCTGACGAGCCTCATGCCCATCGTGGTTATTTTCCACTTGGAGCACTCTGTGTTTAGAGATGGCCGCTGGCCTTAGGTAAAGCTGAAATAATAGCATGGCAGTGGTCCTCAACAGCCCTTCCTGATGCTGACCAGCTCAGTGAGAGACTGGCCAAAGTCTGTGAAGTCACTGGGGCATGGTCAAACCTATGCCCTTTAAAAAGCAAGAAAAGCTAGCTGGACAACCTGCTGGAGACAGCTATGGACAGGAAAGAAGATTCCCTTGTGGACACATGTCTAAGGTCCAGGGTGCTGGTCTAGCCTATGCTATGGCAGATGTATAAGTCAGCAGAGGGAGGGTGGGCTTGGAGTCTCCGTGTCTCCTATGGTCCTCTCCTCTGCAGTCTTTATTTTGCTTCTGGCCTTCCCTGCCCCTCTCCTGCGTGGCAGCACCAGCCCTTCCCCATTCCTGTCCCTGTCAAGGATTCAGAGGAGCTGGGCTGAAAGGGCTTTCCCTCCTCACTCACCTCAGTCCACTTTAAACGCAAGCCTCCATGGCTGCCCTTTCGAGGCTCCTCCCCACCTCCAAGTGCAGACAGAGAGCAAAGCGGCCAGGGTCTCTGATGCCGAGAGGGACCATGCCCTTATAAGACCCGTGCCTGTGAAACTGTCCAAAGGCCTCCACAGGCTTCGGGGCCCTTCATGATCGTGCTGTTCCAAAGCCACCTGGCCTCGTTGTAGATCCCTCCCAAGCCTACCCCACTGGAAAAAGTTCATGGAGGGACCCTGGAAACCTGCTCAGCCTGGGGGAAAAGGCCATGGATATGGGGATGGATCTGGGGGCCTTGGACAGACAGCTCAGCTTGGTGCAGACAGCCCACCTTTCCTTGAGAAGTTTACAATATACTGGCCCGTGCCTGCCTCCCAGCGGCTGAGATAGACCTTGGGGGGCAGTGGTGGGGTGATGACAGAAAGCACCTGGGGCTCATTCCCCCCTGGTCTTTCTATTCTCAGGGCCCTCTAGGGTGTCAGCAGGGGCAGGGACAAGTGGGGCCCTGGCACCCAATAGCTCCACACTCACAGCCATAGCTGTCTAACAGCTGTCTTCCTTGGGTGCAGGTGACGGCGGGCGCCAGTGTGGCTGCTTGCCTTGGCTGCATGACAAAGTAGTAGAGATTAGGGCCTGGAGCAAAGAAAGTCATGGCAAATTAGTGGGCACTCCCAGACTGAATTAAGTAAGCCCTGAGCATGAGGCCAGCCAAGTTATGCCCGTTATAATTCCAGGGTGTATGTACGCTGGTGACTCACCAGCATTGGAGAAGTCTGGGGTGTACGCTGGTGACCAACTAGCACTGGACAAGCCCAAGGTATATGCCAGTGACTGGACTTGAACACTTTGTCTTGGCATGTTGGTTGTTGATATAAGCCCTTTGCCTTGTTCACTAAGTGCAGACGGAGATGAATCTGCTGCTGAACAGCTCTGGGAAGCCCCTCTCACCCCCACCCCCAGCAACAGAACAGAGTACTTGTCAGAAATAAAACCTCAGATGTCTGTCCTGCTGGTTCAGAAGCTCCAGGGGAGAGTGCCCGTCCCCATTCTGGTTTGGAACAAGGTCCCTCTGAGAACCAGGATCCTCCTTGTCAGTCAAGTCCTTAGCCTGGGCCCTGTCCAATCTGTGCCCAGGGCTTTTTTCCTCACAGACAGCATGGCTTCCTTGCCCCAGCACAAGGCCACGAGGCACAAGCTTCTCCAACAGACCCCCCTCTGCCCTCATGGTCACTTCCCACCGCTCTGACCCTGGCTCCCCCGAACCCCTGCTTCCTGAATTCATCACTTTATTTTTGAACCTTCACCTCTTCCTCCTGGTTATTTCCACCTTGTCTCCAAAAACAGTATCATTTTCTTCAATTCTGCAAGGAAAAAATCCAGAGGGAAAACTATATTCTACAAACTACTTAAAGAATCTGCGCAACCTCCCCTCTCCTCGTCACAGGGTTGGCTCACTGTGCTGAATCTGGTCGCTGGGTCTCAGCTCAGGGCTCATTCTGTGTGCTCTCTTCCCCCGTCTCCCTCCATGACTCTTCCTTTCATAGGCTCCACCCCTTCACACTGCACCCATAACTTCCTCAGGATCTGCTCCTCCCAGAACATCACTATTTATGCTGTTTCTGAGTTTACACTTTTGCTGCTGGGCTGTGAGTCCTCGACATGGTTCCTCTGGCGCTCTCAACACTGGGATTGGATTGAACCGTGGGGGTGTAAAGGGAGGGGCGTGACAAAAGAAAACCCCTCTTCTTGACTTGGCTCCTTCTCTTTACCCTCACTCCCAGGCCCATTCTGATGCACCAGGTGGGCAGGAGAAGAGTCAGAGGGTTCCCAGAGTGGGATGGGGACGGGGTGACAAGGGCAGCACACACCCCTGAGCCAGACTGCCCCTTAGCCCCTTAGCCCCTTAGCCCCTTAGCCCCTTAGCCCCTTCTCATCTCCTGCCCTGCTCTTCTTCCTCTGGCCTCCTCTGAGCTACTCATTCCTTTCTGTCTCTTTTTCTTTCCTCACCTATGAACTGCTGTTTGAACTGTCACTTCTGGGTTGATGCCTCCAGTTTTGTTTTTCTTTTTCCAGACAGTTTCCTTGTATAGCCCTGGCTATCCAGGAACTAGCTCTGTGGACCAGGCTGGCCTCAAACTTCCCCCTCTGCCTCTGTCTCCTGAGTGCTGGGATTAAAGGCCTGTGTGTGCCACCACCGCCTGGCTAGATGCCTCCAATTTTAAATCTGTCCTCAAACCCTATTATTGAGAATATTTTCTAGAAGCCTGAGAAGCACTTCAGAGACCACAGTCTCAATTATCACTTGCTGGTGTCCTCTACATCAAACGATCACCATCAGACCTCTGACCTCATCCCGAGTGCTACCCTGCCCAGTTCCCTGGCAGTTACTCTATTAGCCAGGACACCACTGTCTGCACTGAGTTCCTGTGGGTTCCGTGCAACAATCCAACCAGAAACGTTGACTCACAAATGCTGGCCTGCCAATGGCAGCCCTTCTGTGCAGAGACCCATTGCTCCAGCAGGAGGCGCTTTTCCTATGTGCTCGTCCAGCTCCAGAGGGAAGAGCACCCCCTGTGGGCAGCTCAACCCCTGCTGCTCATGGGAGCTTCAAAGGAATTAATGACTTTCCTTCAGGGACAGAAAGGACATAGACCAGACAACAGGGCCTTCCCTCCTGGATGGCATGGTCACAGGATGGCATGCGGAGGGTGGTGTCAAGGTCAGGGGAAGGCATGGGGAGGGTGGTGTCAAGGTCAGGGGAAGGCATGGGGAGGGTGACGTCAAGGTCACTCCAGGAAGCCTCTGCTAGCTGTCCATGCTACACCTGGGGCTGACAGTTGGATGTGCACCGAAGAACAATCTTCTTTGGGACTGAAGACACTTTACCCTGTCCTGTCCTGTCCTGTCATTCACCACATCCTTGGAGTCCAGGGAATTGTGTTGGCTCCTTACTGACCAGCTACAGGGTTAGGACCAAGATAACAAGCTCTTTTTATGTTCTGCTTTTTTCATCCAAAAGTGATGATTGTGCCAATCAGAACATGCTTTTATGAAAGCAGTTTACCAGTAACAAGCCACACCCACCATGGGATCTAATTAGAAACCTCCTTAGCCTCTTCCAGATGCAAAACCATGACTTCCCTCAGGACCAGGTTCTGCTTGGCTACACGGCTACCATGTGGCTGAGCAGGCACTCAACTAAGACTCCTAACCCCAGGTCCCAGTTTGCAAGAGGCCACAGTGACAACCCACTGCCATTATTTTAGCAAACAGCAAATTTTCAGTGTGATATGGCCCGAGGACTTGCTAGCAAGCAGTCCCCAGTTACTCTGGGGACTCTCAGCACTCAACTGGCATGTCTTAGGTGAGTCATTCTGACGTACGGAAGAGTTGCAGCATCACTAGCCTAGGGTAGTTAGCCAAGGGGGAGGAGTCTAGAAGCTCCCTGTATCACAAGGCTCACAGCAACCACGCCCTGCTGGGCACAGAGGAATGCAGGTCTATGAAATTGACAGACTCAAACTCAACACCCAAGAGAGTTGGAAGAGGCGCCCTGGTGACACAGCTCCTAAGTAGCTAACCTGAGGCCCAACAGACCCAAGCTCCTGGTTCTGTTCCCAGTGTTCTCCCCTCTCTATGTTCAACTCATCCTTAGCTGACTGCCGCCCTGGGGGTGGTGTGCACCATAGCACCTTCCCCATGCATGACCTCTGAATAGGGACAGTCTTCTCAGAGGGGACTCTGTGTGTTAGGGAAGAGAAAATGGCACTCACGATTTGTCTCCCCTGCCGAGCCTCCTTGAGGGGCTGGCTTGCCTCCTCCTGGGAGACAGGGATTTTCCCCGGCTTCTCACTTGGGTTGGAGAGTGGGCACTTGCAGGTTGTAAGATCTGAGAGAAATAGAAGGAGTTAGCCACACTGGGTCCTAAGGACCCCCAGCCCCACCTTCCCACAACACAACAGCCCAGCCCAACCTCACACTTGACACTGGGAAAAGATGAGGGAACCATGTCCTGGAGAGTGACATGGAACACCACATCATCCCCTTCTCTGTGGAGTGAGGGAACCAAGCCAGGCCCTCAGCCTCCTAGAGCTGTGCGCTTACAAGTTTCTCACCCTGCAAGGCAACATCTCCCCTGCAGCACCCCAAAAACCAACTTCTGTTCACCCCCTTTCCCACATTGAGGCACAGAACGAGCTTCGGTTTACCAGTATCACCACTCCAGTCCTGAAGACTGAAGGTAAGCAAGCCTGAGTCAGGACAGTCACTTTCTCTTAGTGACTCCACAGGCCCTGGAGGGACAGGGACAAGTGGGCATGCTGTCACTATGGAATTGAGCTGACAGAGTGAAGAATGGATACTGAGTACCATGTACCCAAGCTCAGCACAGGCACCTGGCCAGGGCAGGCCATCTCACATACAAAAAAAGACTAACTGTCCAATCAAATGAGGATGCAGAGGGTTTGTTTTGACAGAGTGGTCACTAAGCAAGGAAAACTTCCTGCCATTTAGAAAAAGCAAGAGAGAATGTAGGGCTGGAGAGATGGCTCAGAGGTTAAGAGCACTGACTGCTCTTCCAGAGGTCCTGAGTTCAATTCCCAGCACCCGCATTGTGACTCACAACCATCCGTTATGAGATCTGGTGCCCTCTTCTGGTGTGCAGATATACACAGAAGCAGAATGTTGTATACATAATAAATAAAATCTTTAAAAAAAAGAGTGTGTGATTGTTAGATCTTGATTCTCAGTGTGATGGGATTTAAGAATCTCACAGGGAAAGCAGCTCTCTGTGTCTGTGAGGAAGTTTCTAGGTTGGATGAGTTGAGGTGGGAAGCTCACAGTACTGTGGACAGCACCATTCCATGGGCTGAAGCAAACTTAATAAAAAGGAGAAAGCAAGCTGAGCCCCGGCTGTGCACACAGTTGCTTCTGTTGTATCCCGTGATGGAGAGTATCCTTGAACTGTGAACTAAGATGAATTCTCCTTCCCTTTCCATGTTTCGGGTCAGACATTTTGCTCTGTGTGTAAAATAATGGACACAGGTGGGAAGGGAGCTCCACTCTCTCCACGCGGGAAGGAAGCTCCCTCTCTCTCCACGCTTGTCTCTCTCCACGCTTGTCTCTCTCCACGCTTGTCCCGCACTGACCTTCATCCGCATGTCCCTGGCGTATTTCTCCAGCTCCTTCCTTATGTCAGACCTCAGCATCTTTGAGACATTGAGGACCAGTTGCTTCCACTCAATGGGTTGGAAGCTGTGAGGCTCGTGGGGGACATACAGCCCAATCTTGACCTTCTTGACTGTGTGCAGGTATTTCTTGTACGAGTCTTCAAAGTCGAAGACAAGGTCACTCAGAGTCCGAAAGGTCAGTGGCTTGTCCATCAGCTCAGCCCTTCGGCTCATGCCCAGTGAGCCGTAGTAACCGTTGCAATAGATCCCCAGCACGACGTGGTGAAAGTAGTTTCCTGAGAAATAGGTTTTAAAGCTGATGGGAAACCGCTCGATGGAAGGCTGCCCGTTGGTTAGGTATCTTAGATGGTAAAGTCAAGGAAGAGACAGAGGCAAGTCAGAGAACATGGTTTCCCAGAATAGGATACTACTCCTGGGGCCAGTGAGTCCATGTCCCTGTCTCCAGCATCTCAGTATCTAACCTTTCCAACAGAATCCTCTGCAAGGGATTTTCTGAGCATCTTCGAGTATCAACTCTGTGGGGTATACCAAAACCAAATGAATATGGGATCGAGAGAAAAACTGCCATCTTCAGTAGTCAAATGCAAAACAAAATAGCCAGGGCTCCTTTCCTTGCCAGGCTTGCTATAGGCACTTGGAGCTATTGAAGGTGTTTTTATCTACTTGTAGGTGTATATGTGCGTGCGTGCGTGCGTGCGTGCGTGCGTGTGTGTGTGTATGTGAATACAGGTATCTTAACCACGAGGGCAGGAGTTAAGGCCAGAGATCCACACTGGGATCTTTCCTCTGTTTTGGAGATAGGATTTCTCACTAAACCTAAAGCTCACCATTTCAATAGACTGGCTGGCCAGCAAATCCCGAGATTCTCCTGTCCCAGCTCTCCAGGGCTGGGCTACCACACTTAGTTCTCATGTGGATTCAGGGGATCTTAACTGTCTCCGTACTTATGCAGCAGTTTCCCAAGTGGTCTCCCCAGCCAAGTGTGTTTTAAACACAATCAGATCCTGTAGTGGTGGCTCACACCTTTAATTCCAGTGCTTGGAAGGCAGAGGCTGGCAGATCTGAGTTCAAGGCCAGCCCGGTCTACAAAGTGAGTTCCAGGACAGCCAGGGCTACAAAGAGAAACCCTGTCTCAAAAAACCACAATCAGAATGTGTTCTGACTGCTCTGTGTAGAGCAGGCAGGATCTGAGGGCCCCTGTGGTTGTCCAGGCAAGAAGGAAAACAGAGATCCCAGAGACAATGTAAGGCCAAGGCTGGTGACCAGAGGGTCAGGGACAGAGAGGAGTCAGGAGTCCCATTTTCAATAGTTAGCCTCTCTTGTTGCATCTGGCACACCTGTGCCAACAGCCTGGGATACCATGTAGAAAACATTTATCCTCAGTCCCCAGCTCCATCCTAGTCCCCAACTCACACAGCACACCTTGGCTCTACCGACTCACTGGCCTGACCCGATTTAGTGGCAGCCTCTTACCATGACTTTAGTGTTTTTTTGTTGTTGTTGTTGTTTTGTGTGTGTGTGTGTGTGTGTGTGTGTGTGTGTGTGTGTGGTGTGTGTGGTATGATGTATGCACATAAGTGTAGAAGTCAGAGGTCCCCCTTGGTGTTCCTGTGCTGTGCTTACTTTTTGAGACAGGATCTCTTGTCCTGGAACTCAATCATTTAGGTAAGCTATTTGGCCAATGAGACCCAGGGATTGATCCTGCTGCCTCCACCTCTCCAGATCACAAGCGCACGCCTCAACACCTGATGTGTGTTTGTTTTTAACATTGGTCCCAGGTGAGCAAACTCAGGTCTTGTGCTTGCAAGGTGACCACTTTACCAACAGAGCTGCCTCCCCAGCCACTACAACGTTGGTCTTGACCAATAATTGAAAAGGAGCACCTTGAATTAACATCCTACGCCAGGCCCTGGATGGCTGAACGAAGGCACCACACTTCCAAGCCCCTCTAGAAATTCCACACTATTCCTGGTTAGCTCTCAGGGCCCTCAACCCAAGTTTTCTAGAAACTTTGGTCATTCCTGATAGAATGTGCAGGGTACCTGACTGCTTCTAAGGGAAATGTTGACATGGTACTCTGTGACAGTGAGTGCAGATAGTGTAGGCTCAGCTCTCCATCTTGCTTCTGCACACACAGTTGAGATGACTTAATAAGTAAAGGCACCTTCCCCCGAGCTAGATGACCTGAGTTTCATCCCCAGAATGCAGGATGATGAAAAGAAATGACTCCTACAAGTTGTCCTCCAAATAAATACTTCTTAAAAGAATCTGTCTTAATCTTCGCCTATTTCCTGACCACTTGATTTCCTGCGTAGCCTGAACCACGCATGCCTGAACCATTATCTCAGCCCAAACTGGGAAAACCTCAGTCTTCCACCTCAGATCTTAGGACTGCCTAGATCTCTGAACAAAGTCCTAATGTGACTTGTCACCTGACATTTCTGAAGGAGACATCCTGAAGCCACAGTAAATTTATACGGGAGCCAGGTGTGGTGGCACACACCTTTAATCCCAGTTTTTGAGAGGCAGGGGCAGACAGAGCTCTGAGTTTGAGGCTACTTAGTGAAGCCCTATCCTGAAAACTCAGTGGAAACTCCAATTCTTAAAACATATGCTCCACATCAGGAGCTGAGCATTTAGATGCTGGGCTCACGTATCTGAGTGGTTGGTCCCCAGTTGGTGAAGCTGTTTGTTTGGGAAGGATTAGGAGGTGTGGCCTTGTCAGAAGAGGGGTAGCCTTGATGGGAGGTGAGTGTGTCACGGGGGGGAGGGGCTTTAAGAATTCAAAAGTCCACACCATTCCCAGTTAGCGTCTTCCTGTCTCTAGGCTTTTATCTCAAAATATGAGCTCTCAACTACTGCTCCAGTGCCATGACTTCCTGGGGCCATGTTCCCACTCACCCTCTGTAAGCCCCAAATACCCTTTCTTCCATCAGTTGCCTCGTCATAGTGTCTCCACAGCAATAGGACACAATAGTAACTAGGACAGAGGACCTTCAGATGACCGGGGCCGCTGTGAGAGTGAAAACCCTTGCCTTGCAAGCATGAAGCCCAGGTTCAATCAATACTACCAAAAAGACAGACAAAATGATACCGAGGACAATGGCACAGGTCTGTAATTCTAGCAGCTGGGAGGCTAGAGGAAGTCCAAGGCCAGCCTCAAAACAGGTACCCTTTGAAACATGTTACTAAGCAAATCAACCAACGTAGCCTGCTTGTGGCAGTAGTTGCTTTTAGCATCGCTCCCAAATGCCAAGTGTCTCTCTCCCTGTGCACCGGGGGCCGTGACCAACCTAGCAGCACAATCCTCCCAGAAAGGCTCGTCACAGTAGCCATTCCTCCAAAGAATCTGCCATGTATCAGGAAAGAATTTGGACCCTGAGATCCATGTGTCTGGCATGCGTGGGAAAGTGAGTACTTGTATTAGTTAGCAGGGTACAAAGTGGGGGAGTCCAGGAAGGGACCCCAAACATCAGGCAGAAGTGAAAACAATCACAGGCAGGAGACAGCTTAGCCTGGAAAGCACTGGCCCTTGTTCAATACCCAGAACCCAGGTGATGGGGGAGGTCCTTCTGTGTATACGTTTCTCTTACTGGTTGATGAATAAAATACTGATTGGATAATAGCCAGGCAGGAAGTATAGAAGGGGCTACCAGCCAAGGAGAATTCTGGGTAGAGAGGAAGGAGAGAGGAGCAGTGAAAAGAGACATGTAACAGAGGAAGGAGTAACAGGTCTGGACCCTTCTCCAGTAAGATAAGACCACATAGAAATACTCAAGTTAATAGAAATGGGTGAATAACTAAGAGAGAGCTAGCCAGTAAGAAGCCCTAGTCATTGGCCAACAGTTTTATAATTAATGTAGCATCCGTGTGCTTATTTGGGGCTGAAGGGAAAAACAGAAATCTCCATCTTCACCCAGGTTTGTAATCCCAGGCTGGGAAAGTAGAAACAGGTAGATCCATGGGGGCTCACTGACCAGCCAGCTTAGTTTACTTATTTATCTAAACCAACAAACAAATAAATAAGGTGCCTGAGCAACCATAACCAAATGGTCTCCTGCCTTCATGTGCACATTCAGCCATACACGCATTAGGTAGAAAAGGACAAGTGACCACAAGTTAGCCAAACCTACCAACTTCTCAGTTGTCACGGAACCCTTGTTTCCCAGGACAGTGGGAAACTCTGGGAGACACTGACCATGACCCGATTCACTCTTCCCACACTGACACAGAGCAAAGACAGAACTTCTGTAACTCTGGATGGAGGTCTGTGCAAGAGTCCAGTTTCCCTGAGTACAGCATGACAGCCAGTCTCCCTCGCTCGCCACCTGACTTGCTCTTCTCTGCAATGTCACAAAGGTAAGAACAAAGTAAAATCAGGAGTACTGGCCCAGCAGGGTCCTAGACCTCTACAGTCCCCCGTGCTTCTGGGTAATGCCAGGGACAATGATACAATGATGCTGAGATGCATGACAATGTGCAAAGGACATTGCCTACATACCCAGCACACTCAGCAGGTAGGCAGAGCAGCTGAGCAGCTTGCCAGGGTCTGGCCGGTGTCCTCTGCTGGCCTCCACCAGCAGCTCCCCAGCCAATGGTTCCCAGCAAAAGGCTCTGCTTACAACTGTGGCTAAATCCTGCTGGCTAAGAGTGGCGGTCTGAGATACCTGCCCTCCTGCTGGACTCTCTAACATGCATTTCCCTTATATGGGAGCAGGAGAAGCTCTGGGAGAGGCATTAGAAAGACTCAAGTCCTCACTTCCCAAATGCTAACTAAGGCATAGACAGACAATCGGACAGTCGGACTTCAGATCAGACCCTTGTTTGCTCTGCAAGTAGCATCGAGGCACAGAAGCTCACTGTACTGTGGAAACGTGCAGTGGCAGGCAGGGAGCCCTGGATTTCATAACCAGCAATAGACACACACACCCAGCATACACACACACCACACACACACACACACACACACACACAAAACACACACACACACACACACACAGCACACACACACACACACACACACACACCACACACACACACACACACACATACACAGCATACACACACTTAGATCAAAACAAAACTCTCCCTGGGGATTACACACACACACACAGCATACACACACACACACACACAGCATACACACACTCACACACAAAGCATACACACACACATAAAGCATACACACACACACAAAGCACACACACAAAGTACACACACAGCATACACACACACAAAACACACACACATACACTCACACACACACAAAGCACACACAAAGTACACACACAGCATACACACACACACACACACAAAACACACACACATACACTCACACACACACAAAACACACACACACACACATAAAGCATACACACACACACAAAGCACACACAAAGTACACACACAGCATACACACACACAAAACACACACACACACACATAAAGCATACACACACACACAAAGCACACACAAAACATACACATACACACTCACACATACACACACATGCGCTCGCGCGCGCGCACACACACACACACACACACACACACACAGCATACACAGAACAAAGTATAGGACCCTATCAAAACCCGGGGCCAGAGGTCTAGCTTGGATAAAGTGCTGGGCTAGCCTGTATTAGGTTCTGAGTTCAGTCTTCAGCACCTCAAAGAGCAAAAACAAAACAAAAAGGTACAAGAGGGGTTGAAGAGATGGTTCAGCTGTTAAGTACTTGCTGTGCAGGCCGGGCGTTGGTGGCGCACGCCTTCAATCCCAGCACTCGGGAGATGGAGGCAGGCAGATCTCTGTGAGTTCTAAGCCAGCCTGGGCTACACAGAGAAACCCTGTCTGGGGGGGAGGGGAGTGCAAGCAGACAGACTAGACCTTCCCCCTGTCCACCTAATTCTGAAGCACACCGTCCACTGACCTCCTATCCCCTTTCCAGGTTTTCAACCTACTCTGGGCATCCTTAGGTCTCTGTCTTGCTTAGTTTTTATTGTCAGCCTGACACAGTTTAGAGTCACCTGGAATGAGGGAGCTTCGACTCCTGAGGGAGCTGCCTCCATTAGACTGGCCTGTGGCCATGGCTGTGAGGACTTGATTGATGATTTGTGTGGAGGGGCCCAGTCCACTATGAGCTGTGCCACCCCTCGGCAGGCAGGACTGGGCTGCATAAGAAAGCAGCTGACAATCAACCAGGACAAGAGCCACTGAGTAGCATTCCTCCATGGTTCCGGCCCTGACTTCCCTCAGTGACGGCCTCTCATCTGGAAGCATTAGCAGAAATAAACCCCCCTTTCCCTAAGTTGCTTCGGCCATGGCATTGATCACAGCAACAGAGCATGAACGAGGACAGGCTCCACTGCTGGTACTTGATGTCCATCTAGATAAAAGGAATTTTGAGCTTCATCCTCGATTTTCCTTCTCCTGTCTCCCTAACATCCACATCACCCAACTCGTGTTTGTAGCACTGACCCACCCCCCAAAAGCACAACCCTCCAAACATCCCATCCTGAACAGTCCAGGTTCTGCGTTTCAAATCCAGCCAGCCCACATCTGAACTCAGCTGGAGCTTTCCTTTTAAGTCCTTCCCTTGGGCCGTGGCATTGTCGGGATCGCAGTGCTGTGGCCCAAACACCTGCAGCCCCTTCCCTCCACCCCATGCCTCTCTCCCAGTGCAGGTCTTCACACTCATCTTCTCCCTCTGTGGCCTAATGGGAAGCCTGTGTCGGTTGACTGTCAAGTGTTGGTTTCCAAGTTCTGCACACTCCATCTCCTGGCAGCTCTGGAAACTGCCTCGCCCAACCCAGTCCCACTGCCAAGGACGTGGCCCAAGCATCACCATTGCTTCCTGTTAAGCGTTCACTATGAGCTCTGCAGATCCAGCCCAGCTGCTTCCACTGTTCCGTCTGTCTTTCCAAAGCCTCACGAAATGAAATACCCAGGCATGAGACCATGTGACTCTTCAGCTTCAGATCATCTTGAAAGCCACTTAGTACCATATTCAAGAAGCCAACAACTTTCATCTGGGGCCGACTAGTAACCTGACCCCTTGTTCTGCTCCCTTGGCCATGGTCTGTAGGGAGACACTGTAGCCCCGCCTCCTGGTAGCCCAGACAGGTGTGCCGGGACACGCCCTTACAGGCGTGGTGAGGGGAAGTCTAAGGTGGCAGGAATGGTTCTTAAGGGACCGTGCACACGTGGAGACCCTCTTCTCCCTGCTCCCTTCTCTTCTCTCTGGCCTGGCTGCCTTTGGCTTGCGCTTGGCTGGTATATCTGAATAAAGAGAACCTTGGCCTTGCTGACTGCGGATCGATCACTCAACAATGGTCCCCCCAGCCAACAACCCCACAGGCCCCAGAATTTCTGTGGCTCTTCTATCTGGTTGTGTTCTGTGGCCACCACCATCAGTCATGGTCATCACAGCTTTTCTGAACCAAATTCCTCCCAAGGCAAAGAGCCAAGAATGTGATGGAGATGACAGAGCACAAGAGGCCAGCCCCTGCATCCACCAGGTTCCACCATGGCACACTGCCAGCACTCACTCTCCTCTTCAACCCGCTCTCCCGTTTCCCATGGTGACGGGTCTGGATATTCACCCTCTTGGCCTTGCCTTAAGACTCCACTTAAGTCTTTCTTACAACAGTCAGGTTAGTGCATGAAAGAGTCACACATGCACTCTCTGAAGTCCTGAACCCCATTTCTCCTTGTGACTGCTCAATCTATAGACAGCTGGCCCTGACTGCTCCACAGATAACAGGTTAGAAGAATGTGATCCAAGGAGCCAAGCATTGATTTTGTTCAACTCCAGCCAGGTCAAACTGAGAGAAGTACCAAGGGGCTCTGAGACTTTTCTCCCAGGACACCAAAGAAACAACCAGCTCCAGAACAGGGTCAAAAAGTAACCACACATAGCTTAAAGGATACATGCCCAAAATGACTGCCTCAAGGCATTTGATAGGCAAGGATTCTCGGGTCATCTCTTTCGCCGTTTCCATTAACCTGTGGGACAGAGCACAACACAAGATCTCAGGACTTGGGCAATTATGCAGTCAGTTTGACTGTCCCTCAGTTCATCTGTCTGTCCGTATGTCTGTCTCCACACTAGACATCATGCAGAAATCTAGAGAGAAGGGGAACAACTCGATAGAGAAGACCCCAAAGCACATGTGTACTTGACAGAACTAAGATCCTTAAGTCCACACCGTTCCCCCTACAGTTACCTCAGAGGGGGCGTGTTAGCACCTCCCATCCTAGAGGTGGGGACTACAGGGACAAGTAAAGCAGCCCTCATAGGCAGGTTTGCAGGCCTCTGCCATCCTGAATATCAGTCTGGTCTGTTTTGCTTTCTGAGTCAGGGTCTCACTATGTAGCCCTAGCTGGCCCAGACCTGGCTATGTAGACCAGGCCAGCCTCAAACTCAGAGATCCACTTGCCTCCCAAACGCTAGGATGAAAGACGTGGGTCACCACACCTGGCCTGAGAGCCAGTCTTGATCACTGAATTTAGCTGCCAAGTGCAACTAGTCCTCAGCCCCACCCACAGTCTGGCCCTGGGGCACCTCTGCCTCCACCCTCTGCAGGCTAGAACCCTGGAGCCCCAAGAGACAGGGACAGAGGCCAGGAGAGGGTGCTGGTGGCTCACCTGTAGGAGAGAAGCTATGTGGTCCACAGGCCATGCAGCACTTACCCACTCAGAGGTCTCATTTTCCTGATTTCAAAGAACTGGGTCCCTGTATGATTGTATCTGTGTGAAATATGTAAAGGCAAAGTGACAGACGCCAAAGTCCTGGTCAGATTCCCATTTCTCAGTGGGATAAGGAAGTAGTTGTTCTTCTGGCCAGTGGCCAGGGGTAGCCAACAGCCTGTGATTCCTCACTGTGCAATCCTGGAAATCTAATTTATTTTTCTTAAATATTCATTTTATGTATATGAATACTCTATCTGCATATATGACTTTACACCAGAAGAGGATATAAGACTCCACTACAGATGGCTGTGGGCCACCATGTGGCTGTTGGGAATTGAACTCAGGACCTCTGGAAGAACAGCCAGTGCTCTTGACCACTGAGCCATCTCTCCAGCCCAGATATCTAATTTCTAATTGGGCCTGGATGCACTTTTGATAGCACTGCCTTTCAGTCTACCTTGGGCCCAGTTACCTGATCACATATTTAAGTCACGTACGAGACTAGAAGCTCTTGAGAACTGGGACCACTCTCTTATCATCTCTGGACCACCCATAAAGCCTAGGAGAAGCTCAACATACACAGGTTAGCAAACGTTATCAAACAAATGAGAATAAGTAAAGGAACTGATGATTAGACAGCTCCGTGGATAAAGATGTGAAAGGGTAGATAGAGAGAAAAGTAGATGCGCAGAAGGACAAACGGACGGGAAGACAGACAGAAGAAAAGGAAAATGGGTGAACAGACTGATAGATGGAAGAAAGGTAAATGGATGAGTAGGTAGATGGGTGGTTGGATGGTGGGTGGGTGGGGGGGTGGGGGTGGGGGTTGGATGGATGATGGATGGATGATGGATGATGGATGGATGATGGATGGATGAATAAAACAAGAGGATGTATATATTACCGGCTGACCAGTATATTAATGTATAGAAGAAAAGATGGGAGAGCGGATGAATGACAGTAAGACTTTTCAATAGCACAAAGAACTTAACAAGGAAATGTCACTTTTTTCATGCCTGGATCAACACTTGACCTCACTAATCTAAACAGATGGCTCCACTATCCACACCCTGATTCTGATTAACTGCCCAGTTCTCCAGAGCTAGCAACCCTGGACCACCAAACACTCCCCACGCCATTCTTTCTGAGACATAATTTTGAATTTTGTTTTGAGCTTAAAGAAAACTTGATTTGTATGTTTTACTCTTGTGCTTCGAGCAAAATCCTGTTTATGAAACAGTGTGTGCTGGGAGGATGCTGACGAAGATGACTCATTTCCTAAAGCTGCAGCTGTACCCAGTTGGGTGCACAGGACTCACTCACTATGTCTCCCCAGTGATGCAAGCAGCTTGGAGGGTGGGTTCACATTCACACTGCCCTGAGAGGAACTAGGTCTCCTCCAGACAAAGGGCACAGATTGAGAGCCTGTAGCTTGAGCAGATTCCAGCTGTGGCCATCGCTCATGACTTCCTGCCTCACTTCTGAATGCTGGATTGGGAACAACACAGTCAGGGTCAGGGGTGATGTGAACCAGCACACCTTAGGAGAGACTGACCTGGGCATTTCTAAAATAAGATATTGAAAAATCTTAGGGGGTAAAAAAAACCACGGGGCTCTTATTGTGAAATGGGGCTTCTTTACTCTATCAAAGACTTTGCTCAAACAGTGGGGTCCCAGCACATTTAAAGTAGAATCTAGTTTCTAAAAAGTAAGATTAATCCATAATTAAGTAATGCAAAGTTGTCTGGCCATCTTCTCTAAGTTTCTTGTGGTTGGCAGCTGAGCTTCTGGAAGTGTCTCTCTGCAAAGCAGAGAGCTCCTGGACAGGCTTCCCACACCTAGCAAAGCCATGGGCTCTTTTTTCCAAACACACACAAAGACTGGCATTTTGGTTCACTGCGGCTCACACTGTTCCAGGAAAGGCAAGGAGGGTCTGGCCCATCAAAACAGCACTGACGTCTGAGCACATGTACAGTTAGGTATGGCTTGTGGAATATTCCTTTACACTGTGTAAAGATACTTCACCGTGATTGGCTTAATAAAAAACTAAACAGCCAATAGCTAGGCAGGATTTTCAGGGCAAAGAGAACACTGGGAAGAAGGGTATAGTCACAAGGAGACCCCAGGACTCAGAGGACGCAGCATGGGCCGTTCAGAGCAAAGGTAGTAAAGTCATGAGGCAGAAAGCAAATTAATAGAAAAGGGTTGGTCTAAGTTGCAAGAGCTAGTTAGAAACAAGCCTAAGCTATTGGCCGACCTTTCATAATTAATAAGTCCTCAGGTTATTTGGGAGCTGGTGGCCAGGACAGAAAAATCCACCTACATGTATGGCCCCAGGCAATGCCCAAATCCTGCCACCTGTGTCAAGGCAAAGCAGTCAGGCACCCAAGGATCTAGACACCAGGTCAGAAATAGAATGGTTTCCACTCTGCCTCTCTTGATCATGGCCCCAAAGGCCTGATGACGTGGTCCCCCTATTTTCCCTGGTGCTTTCTTCCACTGCCTACTCTGCAGTCAGTAATCTAGGGTGATGGCCACCGTAAATGGGTCAGAGAAGAAGCAGAAAGAGGACCCTTTAAGAGCAATGATGAGGACTAAGCTGGTTATATGTGGCAGCTTTTCTATCAGTGTCGGAAAATGATATGCAAAATACATGCAAATTTGTCCCTCGTGATGAAGCTCATCCAGGCTCATTCTCCTTGGGAAGGCTCGTCCTAGATAGAAGTGAGAGTTGCTCTAACTTTGGGTCACCTGGGATGTTTGGTGATGAGTAAGTGACAATTAAAGTCAGCTCATGGGGCCTGGGTCCATTTAGGAAGGTTTTGTGCCCCTCAACCACCACCAACAATGCATATGGTGTCTCAGGTTGGAGATCAGCAGCATTACCCAGTAACCTAGTAGGGCCTAGGGCTGCCAGCCTCTCTCTGGGGAAGCCACTGTCTCCTGAGGAGGAGTCAGGACTCCATGGGGAAGGTGCCACGTAGGAAGGTGATGACCTATGAGGCAGAAACTGAGCTGCTCATCAAGTAATCGATCTTAATGAACAGGGGGGCTATGCAGTGTCTGACCTTTGGAAGCAGTAAGTCCTCAAAGTTGGGGAGGAGCAAGCAGAACCCAAGCCAACATGCCAGGGGCTCCTCTGCACCTCAACCGGAGGGGCAACCTCCTGAAATCACATTGAAGCTGGCCCCTATCTCACTCCTGTGCCTATAAAATACCAGAAGCAGGCCGGGTGGTGGTGGCACACACCTTTAATTCCAGCACTCAGGAGGCAGAGGCAGGAGGATCTCTGTGAGTTCGAGACCAGCCTGGTCTACAAGAGCTAGTTCTAGAACAGCCTCCAAAGCCACAGAGAAACCCTGTCTCGAAAAACAAAAACAAAAACAAAAACAAAATACCAGAAGCAATCCATGGCCATCACTTCTGCCCCTCTGCCCCAACATTGATGCTCCTAAGGGACCTGCAGAACTCAACTAACCCTAACTATAAACAACCTGAGAGCACGGAGGAGGCCAAACCCTCAGGCTCCTCAGTGGCTCTTTCAGTTCAAGCTGAGGCAGGGTCCCACAGCAGAGCCAAAACACCCTGTGCATACAACTGGACGGAGTCATTTGCCTGGGTTGCTGGGAACCAGAGGCAGACACAGTTGGGTCTCTTGAGATCATGAGGGGTCAGGGATGAGGTAAAACAAGTGAGAGAAGAAAGAAAAGGAAGTCTAGGAGGTGTAGCAAGCTTTCTTGTGGAACTATCTTTGGAATGCCAGCTCAGAGACTTGTTACTATGAAAGCTTGCCCTTAGCTTGGGCTTTTCCCAACTAACTCCTATAACTTAAATTAACCTATCTCTACTAATCTACATTCTGCTACATGGCTCAGTTACCTCTGCTCTGTACTGTGTCTCTGACGTCTTCAGTCACTGGGTGAAATCGCCTGCCTAGATTCCTCCTCCCAGTTTCTCTCTATCTGCCTGGAAGTCCCGCCTGTTCTCTCATGCCTAGCTATTGGCCATTTGACTCTTAATTAAACCAACCAGAGGGCACCTTAGGGAGAGACTCAGCTTTACAGTGTACACAAATATTCTGCAACATTTCCCCCTTTTGTCTCAATAAAAAGGAAAGGGTTTAACTCTAACACAGGAGAACTAAGATCAACTATCAGGTAAGAATGACATTTACAGTGTCCAGTCCATTTGTGTTGGGCAATTTGGGGGAAAATACTCTATTATCAGCCTTATCATGATGACTCCAAAGTTTTATACCTAAACCACTTTCTATCATAACTTGTATTACCATCCTAAAAATGTCTTTTTAGAACTTAAAACATCTCAGATGAACAATTTAAGCTTTTATGTTTTTCTTTCTTTCTTTTTCTTTTTTTTTTCCTTTTTTTTTTTTGTTGTTTTTCGAGACAGGGTTTCTCTGTGTAGCTTTGGAGCCTATCCTGGCACTCGCTCTGGAGACCAGGCTGGCCTTGAACTCACAGAGATCCACCTGCCTCTACCTCCCAAGTGCTGGGATTAAAGGCGGGTGCCACCAATGCCCTGCAGCTTTTATGTTTTCAACCTTATAAACTTTACATCTCTTTTGTAAGTTTTCTTTTTTAATTTGGTAATAAAGAAATTAGTATAACTATCTAGTCTTCAACTCTATCAAAGACCCAAGAAGGATGTAATATTACCTGAGTAAACAGGAAGTACAGAACAAGAACTTCCAAAACTATAGGAATGACAGAAACAGCTGGCTGTCTGGACAAGTCAACCACGGTTCCTCTGCAATGTTGGGGCATCATCTTCAGCCTACAGGACTAGAATATCTGACAGACTTTTTGTGAAGCAGGAATTTTTTTAAGGACTACCCTACCTTGTCTTGGTAAAGTTCAGCAGTCACTTTCTTTTGTGTCCTCCTTGCCCAATTTGGACAACATACTGTCAGCAGTCAAAGCAAAGGTAGTTTCTTGCCCAGTGGCTAACTTTGCCACAATGAAAGCAAACTCCATATGGAGGGTCTTCAATGCCCATTATCCTTTTTGTGAAGTAGATTGGTGCTGCCAGGAGCAGACGTGTCTCACTGTCATGAAAAGCTTTGGGTTATTAAAGCATTTTAAATGCCATACTCTGCAGATTTCTGAGGTGTTTGAAGACCACCTGTCTATTTAAAATATCTCTGTATGACCTTGAAAACATACCTAACATGACTCTGTTTGATTGTTATAGATGACTAACTACTAACCTGTCTCTATTATCCTAAAAAGCTTTCAAGAACTAAAACTTCAAGTTGTACAGGTACAATAACTTAAACAATAGAAACATATACAGCCTAACAAAAATAACCTTAAATCTTATCAATATACAAAAATCTATACCAATGTAAAATATTTAACACTAGTAGATTTTTTTTTAGTTTAAAAGTAGATTCAATGATCTACCCTTTTATCCAATCATTTCTAAGGAGGAGGGAGGAAAAAGAAAGCCAATCATGTAGGAAAAGAAGGGAACAAAGGCTGTCCTGGAACGCTCTCTTGTAGACCAGGCTAGCTTTGAATTCACAGAGAATTCAAGGTATGGGATCAAAGACATGCATCACCATGCCTAGACTCTGCGTGTGTGTGTGTGTGTGTGTGTGTGTGTGTGTGTGTGTGTGTGTGTGTGTGTGTAGTTGGAGGCTTTATGCATTCTGCCTGGTCCCCATGCACCAGTTTCTCTCTGCCCACCAGGTCCCCAGCTGCTTATAAGATAACCACTTGGCTTAACAGTAATGCCCTGGTATCTTGCCTCCCTCGTGGCTACATGGCATCCCCAACCCCACCTTCCCTCTCTGTCTCTTTGTTTGGATTTCCTGCCTGGCTTTATTACTCTTCTTAGCCATTAGCTGGAACAGCTTCATTCATCAACCAATAAAAGCTACACATATTTGCAACGTACAGAAGGGCATCCCACAACGAGAGAGAGAGAGAGAGAGAGAGAGAGAGAGAGAGAGAGAGAGAGAGAGTTAGGAGCTAGGTATGGAGGTACAAACTGTAATCCTGGCATTAAGGAGATGGAGTAAAATACAGATAGCAAATTCAAGACTAACCTAGGCTACATAGTGAGTTCTGAGCTGAAGAGCAAACCCTTATCTCAGCAAAGGGAAGAAAGGTTGAAAGGAAAGAAGAAGGAAGTAAATTTTGTCAGAGATAGAAATGAAATCACTATGTTGGGCGTTGGTGTCGCACACCTTTAATCCCAGCACTCGGGAGGCAGAGGCAGAGGATCTCTGTGAGTTTGAGACCAGCCTGGTCTACAAGGGCTAGTTCCAGGACCGGCTCCAAAGCTACAAAGAGAAACCCTGTCTCAAAAAAAACCACTGGGCGGGGGGGGGGGGGGGGGGGGGGGAAGAAGGGAATAAAGACAATCAAGAGGAGGAAGAAAATGGGAAGGAATGGAAAGAAGAGATAATCCCACAGAAAGCAGAGGAAACGGCAGGGAAGGGGAAAAAGCACGTGACAGGCTCACAGAGGACCAGGGGCACAGCTCTGTTTGAGGGACAAGCCCTGGTCATTCTGGTCACTGTCAGCATGTGTGCTGCAAGCTTTCACCCACGGATGTCCTCCAACATTTCCAGTCTTACAGGGCTTTGGACAACCAGCTGGTGACAGACATGCCACCAAGCTTGTCATCACCGCGCCCATCCTTTGTCTGTGGTGCTCAGCCCCTGGCGAAAAGGATACTGTAGCGTCTTCATGTAATTCTGGATGGCCTGGAGCCAGTCTGGGATGGTCATGGACAGCCTGTAGTTGGGGACCTGGGGAATTGAAGGCTACGGAGAGATAGAGAGAGGGGGGCTCCTGTTATTGAGTGGTTGCTTGAGCACAGCTCCTGGAGCAGGCATGGAGCTGAAGTCAAGTGAGAGCTGCTCCTGGGAGCAGACACACACTAGGCATAGTCACCAGTAGCCATGGTACCTTCCCCACAGTATCTCCCGCGAAGACAGCTGGTCCACCATGGAAGGGCCCTCTAAGCCCCCTCCAAACACACTCCACTCTGGGCCATGGTTCTCTAAGGCCCTCCTGACACTGGTCTAACACCGTTTGCCTTCTCTATGGGAACATAGTTGCCTTCTTGAGGCCAGGGAGCACATCCTGTGGAATATCCCACTGCAGCTGGCCCAGGATGGGACCCCAGGTGCTTCACTGATCCCTACATCTTTGCCGCATGGCCCATTCTGCAGAATGGCTAACAGTGGCTCCATTATATCTGCTCCCTTCTTGAACATCATTGACACAGGACACGAGGCAAATGGCATCCAAGATAAGTAACTGCAGCAGAATGGTGAGCAGCCATGGGCACCATTTCTCAACACCACACACCTCACATGCCCACGGCTTCCCTCCCTGAGCCCTTTCCCTGAGTGAAGATCGGTCTCATGAGGCATCCTCATGGCAGCCCAGCCAACTCCCCTTTCCCAAGTGCCTACAGTCAGCACTCAACCAAACCACTCCCGAGACACAAGGACATCAGCCAGACAGGAACACATTAAGGTCTGTTTATCCCCACCGACTCCATCTTCTCCATGTCTGTGGTGGGCTATGTCACTGGTGACTAAGAAACTTGGTCCCTATGTGTGCAGGATTAAGGGAGGAGGCTCCCCTGGGTGTTAGCTTCTTCAAAAGAAGTAAAAAGAGCCAGAGGAAAGATTAGTTTCACCCTTAGAGAAAACAGGACCAGCTCTGCAAACAGAAGAGGAAGCTGCTAGTAAAACAGGAAGCAAATAGAATGAGGACAGCCAAGCCGGGCAGCAGAGCCGGGAGTTCCTGGCTCTCCAGGCACACGCTCCACCGTGTGCAGTGAGAGATGGGCACGGTGCTCTGAGTATGTGGTAGCCGGCTCTTTCCCCATGTGTGCAACATTTACTGCAAACATTGCCCGATGGCAGTTTCCACTCAGTGCCTCTACTCAGCCTTGGCTTTGAGACATTCTGAATTCACAGAAACTATCCCCTCAGCTGGAAGGGAAGCAGTCCCATTTGGTACATGCAAGCCAAGGTGCTGTGTTTGTTAGCAAGATCACGGCTGTGTGGGCACACACACACACACAGGCCCAACTGTTGTGTGAGCAAGAGCACTGCTCTGTGGGCACACACACACACACACACAAGCCCAACTACAAGCCACATTTTCTCTCCAACACCTCAACTCAAGCTCCCTGTCTGGGAGAGTCACTTTGGAGGGCAAAAGGTTCCAACTTGAACATTTGTTCCCATGACTTGATATGCCACTCCCCCCACACACACACACTCCCACAGAAACAGTTTCTCACACATGAATTCTCTGTCCAACCAACACTAGCAAGTGTTGAGATTCCTTGTTTTTTTCACAGTGACACCCACACGTCTACCAAATGTACATAACAACAGATCAGAGGTTTCAGAGAGGCCAGTAGAGAAGGGAGGCTGAGAACAGACCCTTCCTTAGCATCTCTGTGTTGTAAGCACTAGGCCAGGTACAGAGCAGGAAACATGGGAGCCCAGAAGGAAGGAAGCCAGAGATCCCATCACAGAAAGTCGGGAAGAGAGGCATGTGAGAGACAGCGAGTCCCAGCACTCGAAGCCTGTGACTTTGCTCACAGTCCTCTTTGGGAGCTGACCAGAGTTATTTCTACCCCTCCTCCAGCCCCTGGCGCCCATAGAGCAGTGTGTGAAGCAGGGCTCAGAAGGCAGCTGGGCCTCAGAATAGCAGCCAACGGCGCCCAAGGGATTTAGCAAACAGCTGCACAGTTACCTCAGCTGGCTGTGGCCACATTTGCTCCCAAATAGGAGGACAAATGTAAGTATTCCCCCATGTGGGCTGGAGCAGGGCTGCGGTGGGGAGAGCCAAGGCACTCAGTGGAAGGTATCATCACCAGAAGTCAGGTGAGCTGGCTGTGGCTCAGCCTGGGACAACTTCAAACAGCACCTTAGGCAGCTAGTGTTTCTGCTGGATCTGGAGTATAAGCCAGAAGGGCCCCTGAGGTGTAATAATGAAATGTACACGATGGTTCAAATCTCCACTGTGGCCACACAACAGGACCCCCAAAGCCTCCACTTGCATGCAGATAAAACAACAACACTGCCTCATCTGCCCTGGCAGCTCTATGAAGACCCAGCAGGGTGGAGCAGCACACAGTGCACACAGGTGTAGCTGTGACATTTTCCATCGGTAATGTGCTCTCCAGAGCTGGACCAGAGAGGCTCAGAATCAGCAGGGACCGTACGTAGTTCCTAGACACGAGATCCTGCGGATGTCTGCCTGCCCCACAGGAGACAAGAACGTTACTCCATTGTCAAGTGAGGAGGTGGTGTCCTTCATTCGTGGAGACGTCATAGTGGTGAGAAAGCTCACTAGGCTCTGGGAAAAAAACGGGGCCAGCCCAGTGCCTGTGGATGGACAGAATAAACAAAACTCCATCCGGACACGGAGAGATGCTAGTCAGCTTTCGAAAGCAGGCACCTCCTGGGGACACTCTGAAATGTGGATGAATCCTGAAGTAAGCCAACCTCAAAACAGCCAATACTGGGCCAGGGAGGCAGCTTAGCAGGAGGCCTTGGCCACCAAGCCTGAATTCAATTTCCTCGAACCCACAAGGTGGGAAGAGACCCACACCTCTCTGACCTCCGAATGTGTGTCTTGGTGTGCATGTGCACATACACAAACATAAAAACAGTTCTAAAGGCAAACTATGTAATTCTTCATGCATGAAGTTCCTAGAGTGGTCAGCTTCCCTGACAAAATGCAGAGTGACTGCCAGGGAGTAAGCACTACTGGGCAGTCGGTTTTTAGGGCGTGTGTTTCAGAGGAAAGTGGAAGGTTTGAGATGCGTGGTGGTGATGGGGGTATAACCATGGGCATGTCCTTTATGTCACAGAACCTTCTATGGCTGTGACAGAGGACCTGAGGCAATTGGCTTATAAAGAATAAAGGTTGATTTCTGTCTCTCGGTTTCAGAGTTTTCAGCTCATGGTCACTTGTACCTATCTATAGCTTTGGACCTGCAGCACAGCGTGGAGACAGCATGTGGTACAGAAGGTCTGTTCACTTCATGGAATCCAAGGAATGAGACAGGGAGGGGAGGTCACTGTCCCGATTCTAGGGCACGCTCCCTAATGACCTAAATCCTTCCTACTAGACAGCACCAAACAGCATCTAGGCTGGGGGCTAAGCCTTCAACAGGTGGGCCTTTGGGGCATTGAGAGCCCAAACAGCAGAAGCCATCCACTTCAAAATGGTTAAAAGGTAAGTCCCGTGTCCCGAATCTCACCATGATAAACAAGTAAGGTCTCAAAAGGTGGTTTACTAAAGGAGAAATGCAAATTACGACTCTCCGGAAAAGGTGAAGCTCACTAACAAACAGAAATTAAAGCCCCCGTGAAATGTCATCCTCCTCTGTCCTTCCTGTCAGTCGCCATGCCCTGAAAGGCAGACCCAGTGCTGGTGAGGAAGCCCTGGGCAGTTCCAAGGACTTGGAAAAAAAGGGTGTGGAGTAGTCATGGAAGAATAATGAGAACCACAGGCAAGACTCAGGGCTGGCCTCTCCACTTCCTTCTCGCCAAGCAAGAAGGCTGACAGAAGGCAAGAGGGAGGGAGGGCTGCAGGTGAGCACAGATGTGTAACTGGCATGGCCAGGAAGAAGCAAAGGGGAAGCCAGGCATGGAGCCAGGCAGACAGCAAGAAGCCCCGACCTGAGCAACCTTGGACAAGAACGAGGAGAAACCAAAGCATTTATTTTACTGCAAAGGCAGCAGGGACCTCCTGGAGACTGGCGGGGGGAAGGGGTGTAGCATGGAACAGTCATACTCCCAGGATGGCCCCCAGGCTCCTGCATCAAAGGGCCTAGCCTGTGGTCTGGGACACATGTCCTGGAGTCACGCCTTGTGAAGATCCAGATAGTTCCGAATCCAGGCCACAGAACAGAGGAAGCATCCCAGGAGCACAGGGTGCAGGGGTGCAACCTGCAGGAGTCTCAAATCCCTGCTCACATTTCAGATCTCAGCCCGCTAATGTGAATTCTTTCCAAATTTGGAATGACTGTGAAAATGAGACACACACTCACAGGGGCTGCAAAAAACCAAGCAGCCTTTCTGGCTGAGCCGCCCTGGTGTCTGGCCTCAGCAGAGTCAGGCTCTGGGCAGCAGGACACACAAGAGCCAGACCTAGAAGGGCCAGTTGCTCCTCTGCACCTGCCACATGCTGTCACTCTGTGTCACCCCGATGATGGGATCTTTTCTTAAATAACCCCAGCAGAAGCCTAGTCAAGTGCTCATTTGGACTCAGCAACCACAAGTGGAGAGGAATGCAGTTACAATTTGGAGACAGGGTCTCAAGTGATGCCCCACCCTTCCCCAATCCCTGCTCCCAGGAGAGATACCGAGGCCTTCAAGCAGAACTTATTACTGTCCCTAACAGAAAGATCATCCTGTAGTTGAAGGACTTGTCATCAGTGCCTCATAGACCCTGGGAACTTGCTCCAGATACTATCTTGCCTCGGTTCACACTCTATGGATAAAGTAGTTAATCTCACCCAAATTCAGCAATCCCTCAGCACTGTCCCACCACCCACTTTTGGTACAAATTCCTTACCGCATGGTGTTGGCTAAAGAAGAAAAGCTTGGCCCGGGGAGAGACTGCCAAGCCCTGGAGTTGGGAGAGGAACAGCCCCTGGCAGAGACTTCCATGCCTGTGCCTGGGCAGGGGCCAGGGTTTGGGGGCTATTGAAACCAGGAGACGCCATGATGGTGTTGAGGGTGGAGACCCCAACTATTAAGAGTCACTGCTCACTTGGAAGATAACTAGAGGTCTAGGAGACAAGGCCCAGCCTCAACAGAATGAATTTGAGACTAACCTAGGCTACAAAAGAACCTCTCAAAAACCAAATATGCAATGTAGGAAAATGAAATCATAGGCTCTTATTCAAGTTTAGAGACCCAAGCATCACCAGGGGATGGTGGGACATACCTACAGGCCCAGAAATCAGACCCCTGAGGCAAGAGGGTCTTAAGTTTGAGGCTAGCCTCAAATACAACCAAGACCCTGTCAAAGAACAGGGAGGGGACTGGAGATCTGGCTCTGTGGTGAAGCAAAGAACAGGGAGGGGACTGGAGATCTGGCTCTGTGGTGAAGAACAGTGGCTGCTCTTGCAGAAAACCAGGTTCAATTCCCAGCATCCACATGGTGACTCACAACTGCCTGTAACTCCAGTTCTAGAGGATCCAACACCTTCTTCTGACCTTTGTGTGCACACATGCCAGCAAAACACCCATTACCAGAAAATAAATCTTTAAAGGTTAAAAAATAAATAACAAAAAAGCAAACAAATAGCAAAAACAAATCTAAAGCAGGCAATGGCCTAGGGGAGTCCTGACTTACCAGCAACTGTCATGGGGCTCTTGGGTTACAATGAAAATACAATATGATACATAAAAGATACAGGAACATTCTCCTCTCTTTTGAAACAGGATCTCACTACACATTCCAGGCAGGCCTTGAACTCACTGTGGGACCCAAGACTGCCTGGAACTTGTAATTCTTTTGCCTCTCCCTCCTGAGTGCTGAGACTATAGGAATTCTTCACCATGCCTGACTGGGACATCCTTTTATGTAAAGGCAGCATTAATACTGGGAGCATCGCCTCAGCAACACTTGGGAGGCTGCATCTCATCTGTGTTCAGGCAGTTGACTGCCTGGCGGCAAATGAGCTGAAGTCCAGAAAGAGCAGACGGATGTGGGGAAAAAGACAGAAGAGGAAGATGAGGGAGGAGGAGAAAGGGAAGGAGGAGGAGGCCTTAGCGAGCAGAGGCAGGGTGGCACTGTCTTGTACTAACGCCCTCTCAGGAGGTCTTGAGTGAGAAACGTCTTCAGCAACACTAAGACCTGAAGCTTGTCCACACAGAGAAAGGCTCCCACACAGAGAACTGGATGAAGGCACAATAAAGGAGGTGCAGGAACCAGAAAGCCAGCCCTGACCGTGGCAACCAGCCTCTGCTCCCTCTGGCCAACTCTTCCCTGTTTGGGGACTGGTGGATCATGGTAAGCAGAGAAAGATGAACTCAGAGCCTGGGCTGTCTGTGTTCAAGAGCAGGGATCATTACTGCTGATGCTCGGGCAGACAAGCTGCTATTTGGACAGAATGAATTCCCTGCTAGCAGAGTAATAAAACACTATGGAGTGGGAAGTAGAGAGCCTCCTCCACTTCCCCAAGGGCGTACACAGCCTTCTGGTCTGCAGTCTTGCACCCAGGCTAAGGACTGACTCTGGGGTCTCAGGTATATGATCCCTGCATCTTCTCAGGACCCTTCTCGAAAACACGGTCCCTACGGTCCAGGGAGCATCTCCATAGTGGTACACCAGGCTTTCACCTAGCTTGCATTTTGCTATTTTATGTAACAGGACACTCCCACCGAGGGACATCTTCCCTCTGTAACCATATCCTTGGCCACCAACCTCAGTCGCTGGCTGGCTGCCCTCCAGAGTAAAAAGAGAGCTTCACTAGGCCTCTTCCTTTACCCGGGGAGACTAATTCATCCCATGTACTGGAAAGTCCCTTTTAAGCCACAGCCAAATGCTTCCCTTTTCTCCCCTTTGGCGCCGGATAAGCTGGGAAGAGACAGTTCACTGTTTTCTGTACGTTCCAGAGGTAAAAATCACCGTCGTTGAAAGAAAGAAAAAGAAAGAAAGAAAGAAAGAGAGAGAGAGAGAGAGAGAGAGAGAGAGAGAGAGAGAGAAAGAAAGAAAGAAAGAAAGAAAGAAAGAAAGAGGAAGGAAGGAAGGAAATTGGCAAAAAGTCTAGAGATGATTCAGCTGAGGAATCTGCCTGGCTGATTACAAGTTCACTCACAGCTCTGTAAATCATTTCTAGGGAAGCAGGGGAGGAGCGATACACTCCAGGAGGGCAGGCGGGGTGGACGTGGGGTTCTACGCTTTCTTAGAGTGGCTGGTGTTAAACTGGTGACACTAGCTTTTGATGGAGAAGACGTTACAGGGGCTGAGTACATACTGGATTTTGGCTCAGCCTAACCTTACAGGGCCAAGCCAGAATCCCCCTGCCTGCCCCTTCTGGCAGCGGAACTGGGGTCAGGACTCAGAGGCTGGACATGAGGTCCGTCTCCCTGCTCTGCGCTGGCTGAGCCGGTCCCCATCCCGCCCATCCGGACCATCCCGCCTTCTCCCAGCCACGCCACTGACCTTAGCCAGGAAGGCAGCGTTTCTGATGGCGCCCACCATCTCTCCCCCTTTGGGGTGGACCTTGGCAACATGCAGCCACATCCGCTCCCAGGTGTGGCTGTCGATCGGGAAGCCACCCTTGTTCACGTGGAACAGCACCCCGCCGTCTTTGTCCTCCTCCTCCGAGCCCCCGCTGGTGGCGAGGCTTACTGGGCGCGCGTGGCTACTCCGGGACCGGGTGCCTTTGGCGCCTTTGGGGTGGGGGCAGCAATGGGTGTGGGGGGCGGAGCCGGTCATGGTGAGGGGCACGCGGCGGGGGACTTGGGCGCGCCAGGGATCAGAGCCCCGCGGGGGTGGCCTTCATCTCTCCTGGCTGGCAG